GCTCGCAAAGAAGCCAAAGCTGTAGTTGTACGTTGTATCGCCCTCCTCGATAAGCCCATACTTATTATGAGCTCCTCCAGCTTGTGACCGTCGTAAACGAATTTTCTCCTTCTTGCGGCATTGTAGTAGGCCTTTTCAACTTTCGACTGATTTGTATCTTTGCTTGAACGAGGAGGTGATCGAAGCTATTGTAGAAGAATGGAACTATAGGGGGCCGCGTGCACTAGAATTTCCGCTGGGGAGGAGATCGCAGCTCAAAAGAAAGTCTCATCATATCCAGAAGCTCGAGATATGTGGATTTTAGCTGTCTGCCTATTTGTAAATATTTCCACCATCCTTTATCATGACTTATAATAACGGGCTAAGGATGTTTACGTGACTTTGTGTGTGTGTGTGTCTGTCTGTTACGAAATTCGTGGAGCGTGTTCCAGCCAACGTTCTAAGCCCAAATTTCGTATAGCGCATGCTATCTTCGTGAAAGTCCAACATGCAAAAGCACGAGTAGATTCGTTGAGTGGATCCCTCAGAATTTGCGCGCCAAACGGGTACACCTGGCTTCTGTACCGTAAAAGTCGGTCCGTATCACCACTTTTTGCAGAGTCGTGGATGAGTTTGGTAAGCAAATGTGCAAGTGATGGAGTTTAGCCAGAAAAGTGGTCGAAAGTTTACTACATAACGAAAACGGCGCCATAACGAATTGGTTGTGTAAATGGTCAATTTGCCAAGGTTCTAGCCAAGCGTTTGAGAAGATTTTCGCACAGAGATGTAGCTCACGATTATCATTACCTTTATGGCGACTACCAAGTCATGACAAACCCAAAAACCTATTCAAATTTGCGTTTGTCTTCCTGCGAAAAGTTTCATCCACTCGAAATCACCGACCTCACGTGAAAAGATTTTCTAAATGAGTGGTCGTTTACATTTTATTCGTGGTAGTCGGCATAGTGCGGTGAGTTCCACTGCCACGATTTTACGAGAATGAATAAGGCACATAGATAGTAGAGCCAGTGCGAACCTCTGCGAAGCAGAGGTGACGCACTGGTTATGAGCATATCAAACGGGTGCAAGAAGCTGTACAACTGTGTTTTCCAGCTTTTTGTATGATTCCCTGATAATCCCCAGCAAACGACCGTCTTTTCTTTGAAGTCATTTTTTCTCGAAGTCAATAAAAACATTCCAAAATTGTGCGTTTATCTAACCCAACAGTGCTTATCATGTTTCTAGTAAAAATAAGTGAAGTCATGAAATTTGCGGTGAACCACAAGTTGATAGTCGGGGTTTATCGAAAAAATCGATATTCCAAAAGTTCATTTGTTCTTATCAGCAACATGCTTAGCACTGTTGGGTTAGATAATTAGTACAACTTTGGAAGGTTTTCGTTAACTTTGAAGAAAGAAAAATGATTTAAAGATAAACGGTCGGCCACCGGGATCATTAGGGGATCGTACAAGAAGCTGGAAAATGGGGCCTGTACAGCTTTTTGCGCATGTTCAATATGTAAAGCTATTCTCAGCTTAGGCTTAGAATATTCTCTCAAACTGCGTCCCCTCCCCAGCGGGGATGTTACTGCATGCGGCTCTTAGAAATCTAGTAAACTCCACCTTCGCTTGGAGAGGAAGAAGTCGATCTATGGAGTCGTTCCGTTGCGCGATTTCCAGGTTCACCGACAGTGTTTTCTTTCTTTTTAAAAAGGAACTTCCATGGAAAGTTCGTGACGGAAAAAGCTTAACAGAACCGTTGCCTCCTTTTCTTTAGCGGCATCCCGATTTTCGTGTTGAAGTTGCACACAACAAACTTGTAGAAGAGCTCTCGTTGCGCACGAGCTCCTCCAGGTTCTCATAGAAAGCGTCTAGCGCTAAACTGTCAGCTGCTGAGGTTGGGAGTTGCAGTCGATGATGCTGATGGTTTTCTACATGGCCGTAGACGTAAGGGCCGGGCATACTTCACGCGACTTCAGTCGCTACGCGCTTTGGCAGTCGCCAGAAGTTTTCGGATTCAACAGTAGCAAACTGCACATGCATAATGTGTATAACTTACGTGAATTAATTAGCTCTATCTTCTGTACATTTGGAATATGCTTACATTGAGTTATGGACAGTTGGAATATTGCCAAATCGCATCGCGAGTGAAATCGCATGGAGTATGCCCGGCTTTAAAACGTATCGAGGTGATGGAATCCACATGCCAATCGACAGATGGACTATAGATGGGTGAAAGACAAAGCCGACGCCTCCAACGTTTTGTGACCTTTCTCACCACATGGGTGTCCTTACTCAAATGTCGCACGTCCTTCGGTGGTGAGTGAAACGTGATGTGCTCTGCAAGTCGAGGAGAGCGTGGAGGTCGAATTTTGTGGCGACTGGCGTAGAGGTGCAAACATAGGCCATCTTCATGGCGTGTAGTCAAGACAGAAGTATCATTTTCGTTCGAAATGGCGCCCCTTAGACCCTAAAGCCTAAGGCATACCTCTCGCGACTTTGCGAAATCGCCCATCCTCGCGACCTGGCGATTTGTCAGATGTCTAGAGATTAAGCATGCGAGGCTCTCAGATGCATGGGTGTGTAGATTCCGTAAATTGTAACAAACACAGCAAGTCTGGCCCAATCAAAGTGCGTTTACGACCAGCTATGGAGAGTCTTGCAGTGCCAAATCACGCGGCGACTAAAATCGCGTGAGATATGCCTTAGGCTTAACAGTGTTCTTGTTACCACCCGGCGCCGTAGGTGGGATCTGATATGCGGGGTTCTATTCTCTTTGCTGATTGAATGAGAAAACTGCTCCCTACAAGAGCAGACTTAGGCGGGTCCTATGTGCAAGGTTTCTTTCTTTTCTTCATGCTGACCGTATAAAAGGCTTTTTCTCAGACAAGAGCAGACTTACCAGGCATCTCACAGGGCGATCGCCGGCTCATGCCTGGGACGGGTACCGCCAGCGATTTTTAGCTGACGCCAGAGGGCGGAGGGCCTGGCCTGTCTGCTAGCTAGACATTAGTGGAACAAAAAACGTGGAACTCCTGCAAAGCTTGAGCCCCTACTGAAGTACACACTCGTCTATCGCTTTTTGACACCTACGGCTACCCCGCCTTATGTTGAGGCGGTGGACCGTAGTGAAGGTTCAGCTTGGATACATGTAAAATTTACATTTCCTCATCTTTTTCATGTCAAAGTATCCCTTCACCAAATTCCTCATGGCCAAACTGCTCACAATTTTCCTTCCCTTCGAAACCTCTGTAATTAATTGTTCTAGTTTTAAGAGATTTTGTTGTCATGTGTTCGCTCTCTTTTTTCAAACTATTCAAAGTGCTCCAAGTCATATTGCCAACTAAACTTCTCCATATATCCCTGATTGGCCTATATCTTCCAGACGTAGACTTGCATGATTCGGAGAAACTCGGAACAGCTCACCTATTCGATGCCCATCCCCCTCTGCATTCGCACGTCACAGCTCTGGAATTCCCAAATTTTTCTTATAAGGCACCACAATTTGCTTCTCCGAAATCTTCCTAGCCGCCCCCCAAGTTCCAACGGTACCCATTCGTTTTTCATCTCTGCTTTTACTCCCTTGGAGTTCCCTCGTCAAAGTTCTAGATCCTTCTTCTACAAATTTTCGCGCAAAACGTTTCCTGCTCCGGGCCTCTTTTAGTAGATACTAGATGGCAAACCCGGCTCCGCCCGGGGCCAAACTTTGCACACATACACTTCGGGGCAGGGAGCGTGTCATAGTCCACTTTTCGTTATCGATCGATGTCGATTTTATCGATTTTTTGCAAAATTTGAGCTAGGGGGCTGGAATTTGGCAGAGGGGTGTAATCGAGCATGCTGATCACCCCCACGGGGGTGATCAGCATGTTCGATTACCCTCCTGTGCAAAATCCCAGCCCCCTAGCTCAAATTTTGCAAAAAATCGATAAAATCGATATCGATCGATAACGAAAAGTGGACTATGACACGCTCCCTGCCCCGAAGTATATGTGTGCCAAGTTTGGTCCCGATCGGTTCAGAAATAAAAATTTCTATTCCGCACATACGTACAGACAGACATACAGACATACATACAGACAGACATTCAGCTTTATATATAAGATTATTAGTTTTGAAGTGTTTATTCCCTCTCCATTTTCACAGCATTTATTACTGTTCGCAGTTTCCCGTTTCCTCTTCTTTTGCATAGGAGAGCCTTATACTTTTCCATTGTGGTTTCCCCGCGTGAGTTCGAATCTCATCTTGATCGCCACTGTTATGTACTAGAGCGGATGCAGAGAAGCCTTTTATCCGAGAGAGCAAGCCACAAGACTAAGAAGTCCACGATGACCGAAAGAGGGACCTCATTTTAATAGTAGGTAGGGCGCCCAAAGTTTATCCTTTCCTCTTCTAAGTAGGACACGGTTCCCACTTTTTTCATTATTTTTTCTTTCTCAAATAATCTGTCGTGCCCGAGGCTCCTTCTTTCGAAATCCCATGTAAGGGCCCTGGCTTACCAATGTAGCTGCTCATTCCTATTTCTTAAAGTTTCTTCTGAAGTGGCCAAAATCTCTCACTTCAAGCTAGAAGAGCAAGGTCGCACGGCGGCTTCCTTGCCGAAAGTTGCGATGAATGAGGCGTTACTTGACGACCCGAGGGGACGCAGTTTTCAACAACAACACTTACGACATGGATCACACTACATAGTGTCATAACATATGCGCATGGCGCAAGCATTTTTAATTTATGAATATGATAGACCATGGTGAACCACAAATCATATGTATGTGCTTTCTTATGCGATCTAGACATTCCAACAATTATTGGCATGTGTTTAGTTATGTAGTTCCTCTTTTTATCTAAAGGAAGCAATGATATTTGCTTACCTATCTTAACTGCAATGTAGGTGGTTTGAAAAAGCGGATAATTAATTGTATAAAGTTTCTTTGAATGATAACAAATACAAAGCAGGTTTCTCATTGCAAAGTGATCCATTGTAACGCTTCTCAACACAAACACTCTTTCATTTGAAATATTCTAGCTTTACTACATATTCAAAGTAATAGTTGTTGGTGCTTCGATATCTATCAATAACATCGCAATGACGACGTTGTATTCCGAGATAATTGGACCACGGCTTCAGGTGCCTGTTTTCTCTGATCTATCCTTTTCCCCACACTCATTCAAATATCTTTGCAGGGTACTTTTCAAGGATATTTTCAAATGGCAGGTGCAGCAGGCAGTCTGGTGGCACCAGTGTTCACTAGGTAAACGCCCTACGCCATTTCATTTGTTTTCATCAGTCCTGCTATAGTGATCTCTATACGAGTTACGGACCGAAAGCGACTTGGGCTTTGGAAATTATGCTGTTGTGTGCAACCACTATTCTTTGGATAATATTCTATGGAAAGATGGTACCTATAAAACTTGTGGATGGTGATGATCAATCGAAGGGAAAAAGGAAGTTTAGTGATATTGACATTGCATGATCAGGTCTGCCATTTAGTTTGATATTCAACACTGAGTAAGCACCTCTTCATGCAACTTTTATTTTTCGAATTACATTTTGGTACTACAAAGATTATGAAGTGAGCTAGAATGCAGCCATTTCTTTCGCATGTGAGGGCCACGATGAGTATACCGAAAGCAATTCATTATAGCACAATAATACAGACTGTCGATTCCCATAAAATTTTGTCTGGGACTGGGTATTTGATATGCTGGTAAAAAAAAAGAATCTATTCCGCTTTTCATGCTTTTTTGAAGCTGCGAATCAATGAAGCGATTTTTTCTGCCCTATAACAAATTTACATAATCTTTGCCTCAGTTTGAACCACCGTCTGAACAAAACTCAAGTTTCCTCGCATTGACGGATTTGCATGGCTGCGTTGGCGCATTCGATTCTTTCACTCCTCCAAGACGCCATTTTGTCATAAAAAACAGAAATTTTGTGTGTATTACAGCTTACTCCGTAACCTAAGTAGAACCATGTATGGACAGAGTTGCAAAAACTGGTTGTTAACATATTATCAATTGTGTGTAACTTTGATTTAATTCTGCATTTTTGTAATACTAAGGTCTCCCTTAATTTTTACCGTTTTCACTTTCTCTTTAATAACTCATTTTCTTCTTGTTCCTTAAATAAGTCTTGCAAAATTAATCGACGGAACAAAGCAAGCTCTACAAGATAGCATCAAACATAAGTCAAAGTTTGTTCCATCTAAAGTATATAGCCACCAAAGTCCAAGAAAATTCAAATGCTCAAAAAGTAGAACCGTATCTCCAGAGATCTCCTACGGACTTCCTACTTGCACAGGCATATACTCCCCACATCTGCATTTGGAAATTTGCATTTTTTTCATGGCTAGTATTTAGAAACATACACTAAAATAGGCCAAAAACACAAAAAGTCGTCTTTTTCGGGGGTTTTTGCGCCAAATTTGAAACTTCTCAAAAACTAGTTATTTGAAAAGCCAAATCATCGTTATGCTTCCGTAGGTTCATATTATAGGATTACCTACGTGGGAGCAGCCCAGTACAGCTTTGACACAAACATGAAAATTATGTTTTTTCCCATTTTCAGCTATGGAAAAAATAAGCAAATGTCTATATAAATGCGGGATGTGGATAGTATTTGCCTGAAAAAGTGTGAAGTTCGTAGGAAGTTTCTGAAAGGAGATGCGATTTATCCTCAACTTTTCGAGTATTCAAATTTTCTCAGATTTTGGCTTCGAACTTTATGTATTATCTTTGAGAAAATGCTCAATATTGCTATCATGTAGAGGTTGATTCGCTCTGTCCGATGTTACCGCAAAACCTGCCTGAAAAAGTATGAGTTATTGCGGGAGGAAGTAAAACGGTGGAAATTTATGAGACTCTTTATATCTACAGCTCGCCTATCGTGTACTTGAATTTTACTTTTGGAAGAAGTAATTCAAGTAAAGGTTTATAAGCAGTAAACATCTTCCTCATCAAGTCCTTAAAGTTGGGACGGTTTGCTTGTACCTAAGTTAAAATGCCTCTTACAGTTTTTTACTTCAATACTTCAAGTATCGTCATAACTCTTATGAGATACACTAAACACATCCAAAAGCATAACCAAAATGAGACGATCAACGAGATTGGCTGACTGGTGGTGGAACAGATGGACCAGCTGAGAAATGGGGTCGATACGATTTCTGCAGTTGAAACGCAATTGCCAGGAACATCGTTGCCACAGGTGAGAAAGGAAAGATAATTTTCGCGCTGGAGGGGGAATGGATGGGTACGGCACATGAAGACAAGCCATCTAAAAGACCAAGTAAGTGAGCCTCTGAAAGCGCCCCAACGCCTGATTGTCGTCAATTTTCAAGCACCAATACATTAGCACTCATAGTAAGCGCTGATTTTATATAGATTATCTAAAAATTTAATTATTATTGAAAAGGCATAACTCTAAACTTTCATACATGCGGCACAGTTGATACATCACAGTTCGTTCTTGGTGGTCTTGGATTAATGTGAGGGAACACATTCAAATGCGTACTAATCTGCATGCGAGTAGCCACCAAACATCATTCCTGCTTTTTATTGGTTTAACTGAGCGGAAGCAGACGTCGTTTCAATAAAGAAAATCGGTTTTGACCAATTTGATGGTAGATGAATAAAGTATTGGCCCCTTTCTTTCGTAAAATTCAAAATTTAACCTGATTCCCGTAAACACTTATAGTTTTGTGATGATCAAATAGATATCTGTAAACTACAGCTGAAATTTACTTCGAACTTAAATACACCATTGCATTATCCAACGGACAGCACAATTTTCTAGCGACATTAATTTTCGAGTGGAATGAAATTCGTTGTATAGAAGCTGATTTGAAAAGAAAAGAATAGACACAAACTGCAGAAACTGTTGTTGCCATGTTTCTGACTCTCCTTTCCGCTTATAAATATTCTAGGCATTTCGCCAAATTTTAGTGCAATTTTGGTTTATCCCATATCGATTTTTTTACTGCCGACTGTTAATCCTAGAAGTTACTTCTCCTTCAAGTTACATAGATTTCGCTTTCGTGTTTTCATCTTCACTAGAATGATTTTCCCAAAAAATGATGAAAAAAGAAAATTCAAGCTTTCTCAAAATACAATAATACATTTCTCAATATACCCAAATTTAACTAAAGATCAAATGACATGACTGCCAAAACCAAATTTACCATATAAAGCAGGTTGTTGTGATTTGCTCAAAGCTAATGAATCAAATTTGTGTTCCGGTCGCAAACCGCTCTCCACAAAAAACCGAGGGTGCATACAGAATTGCATATAACGTGTTGAACTGGTAACACCACAAATAAAGAAATACAAAAGGCATAGGCAATAGGCATGTAGATGCATTTACCAATCATACTGTGTGTGTAAAATTTGAAGCGACTCTTTAGAAATTATCTTAGATTGTTTGAGGATATATATGCCTCGGAGTGTCCTAAAGCGACAAAATCTAAGCGTAAGTAAATGTGCGTCTCTGGGAAGGAATGCTATAAATTGCCGAAAGGGGGTCGTACAACGCGGAACATCTGCAACAGACTACGCAGATGCATGTTGCAGACAGTACAGATATGTACCAGCTGTCCGCGCAGGGGTATCCTTTCGGCGACCTATACTCCCCTACCCATCTGTTTGCACAGAAAACAGCAGTCATTCCAGGAAAATCGACGAGTAAATAATATTTGCATAATCTACTTGATGCCATCACAACAAAATGCCATCATTGTTCTACATCAGCGGCAGCGCGGCAGCACTTTCGGTCTCTACCTTAATTATTCGTCTCTTACATGGCTAAAATAAAGGTTTATTTCTTATCATTACCGACGTTCTGTTATGTTTTCCGCATACGTGTTTGATGTAATCTATGTTGTGCTAGTGACCGCGTTCAAATTATATGTTAGACCGCAACTTTAGGGACTTTTCCATATATAAATTGCTTTCAAAAATACGAATTAAGTTCAAAAAACGTTTCCAGCAGTTTTTAGCTATTGTGAAGAGAAGCCAACTTGTAGAAGGTAAAGATCGAGAAAATTTATTTTTTGACCCTCAATGGCTTGTTCTTTCGTATAATCATTTCAATGTTGTCCTCATATCAATGCAGCAGAAGCTCATTTGTAATAGACTATGGATAGTTCTAGGTCATTCTAAAAGTTCGTGCGATTTGCAGATTTTCTGACTCAAAATGTCGTAGCTCTTTTCAAAATAAACATTTTTTGACAAAATAATATTTGCTGCATTAAGCAAGATTATGGTTATTACAAATACAGTGCCACGCAAAATAGTCAAGTGAAGAAGAAGAATTTAGTGTAATTTGCAAAATTTCTTGAAAACCGTCGACTTTGACATACTCATAATCCTACCATGAAAGGATAGGCAGACATATTTGGCTGCCACCACCAAGTAGCCCATACTTCAGAGATGATTCAGTAGTTGAAGTGGATTCAAGTTATCTCAGCTGTATTGAACTTTTTGAGAGCAAATCAAAAAAAAACATTATCTGAGCCCTCCTCCACGTTCGCAAGTATGCCGACTCTCCAAATTTTAATTTTTTCTTCTGTCGTGGATGTTAGTCTAACATATGCAATATTGATTGCATCACTTATCGCTATACGCAGATTGTTATCGCTTGTTGAATAACTGAGCTTGCCTCCAATGTTCAAAAAAATTCGAAAATTGAAACATTCTCTATATGGGAGAAAAAACGTGCGTATGTTAGCCCATCACAGCCTTATCGTCATGAGATATCGTATAGATGATTCAACCCATACGCGCAAATTTCCTTCACAGGAATTTTTTCTTAGGCATTACTGCATTTTGTAACCTTGGCTTCGGGGCTTGAATTTTCATCACTGGGAAGCGAGAAATATGCTTCTAGATGGTGGTTGTTTAACATCCGCAAAGGCTTAGCTTTCATCTAATTACAGAATTTGATTTTAGATAAGCTTGACGGCAAATGTGCAACCTCAAGGTTTTGATAAGGCACTGGGAGTCGTTACGGGGAACTTTGTAGCTATTACTACCAAGATGCACGTAAGGAGCATGAGGCATGTATGTGCTATGTTTTCAAGTGAATCGAATGCGCAGTCTCTTGACATCCACAAAACTTTGAAGGCTGCAAACAAGTTTTTTGATTATTTCTGCTGGATGCCTACTTCTCCGCTAGAATGATTGATACTAAGATTGCTACACTGTATGCTGCATCATGAAAATGTTCATGTGAACGTTCAGCTTTTCAGATGTCATGGACTTGAGGTATCTTTTTGATTGCCTCTCGCTGTGCATAAAATTGCCCACAGGATGTGCCTTAAAGACAGGGTGCGGCTCGTATTGGTCTAAAGCATTTTTAAAGAGAAAGCCTCTAACTCCCCACAATTATTCCGAAGTACCCTTTGAATTACTATGAGGTAGGTTGGGAGCTAGAAAATCAAACACAAAAGCAACTATTTGTTTCAGAGCTGCGTTCAGTGACAAGAGTAACGATGAAAAAAGGTCGAGAAAAATAATTAATCAGCTTATTACAGTGAAGAAACATTTGTAGCAGTGACAATTCACTCCCCGCACCTCTACCCGAAAAAGCGCGAATCGTACATAGAAAGGAGATAACGTATAGTCTTACCATTTTTCTAACTTCTCGTAGCTCACTCATGAACTAGAGCGTGAAGCTCATCAACTCTTGTTGAAATCTGCTCACGAGCTTGAAAAATAAAGAGCTGCGACAATTATTCTCCGAACCAAACCAGTTGTTTCGTGGTGGTCTGGAACCATCAAATACGAGAACCGGTGATAGGACCCATAAGTTTTCAAGATGTTTGCATAGTGTAAATGAGAGTGATGTTGTATACATATTTGTCATGTGATCAATTGTGCGCTGTAAACTATTGGTTTATCGAGCATTACTTTGCATTTGGCGCGTTTTCGAGGAGAACGCGTGGGAAAGCAGGACCCAGCACAATTTTCGGCGCTAGAAAGAGTAGTGACTGGCCTGAATTTATTAGACTGAAAGTGTTATATACATAAAATGTTGTGGCAGTAATCATGGCTCTATTTGAGCTCACAAATTCTGAATGATTTTATTGTAGCCGTGCGTTCGATTTTGCTTCAAAAAACTACATAACTCCCCTTTCAAGGGCGGTTTGCAGATAAGGAGAATAGATTTGGAATTAGCGTTCAATGCTCTATAAGATAACATACATTTCGTATGGAAATGCCACTTCCACCAAGTATCGTCCCTTTGTTAAATAGAATACATTAGATCAAGGCGTCTATTACAAATGACTGCTACATACCCACCCGTTGCCTGCCAAATTCTGCCATAGTGTGTAGGATAATCGCGGCTAGGCACGAGATGGCCCTAGAAACTTTTGGCATGCTGTTTCGGGATGTATCACAACGTTGCACATCCCGAACTTCGTTGGTGACATCTCTTCATTCAAAAATTTTGAGCGGTTGTGACTAAATGGAGAGGAGAAGTTTCGAGGCATGAACGAGTATATATTGGAATGCAGATGAAATTGTGTGAGAAAAGGGGGAAAAGGAATGATATGTGACTTTACCGAGCTATCCCGAGTGGCTCGCCAGGTCTCCAATCCTGTTTTTGAAGTGTGACATGAGATAAGGATGAGGTTATAGAACAATATTTCTGAACTAACTAATTGGTGTTCGCCTGCCTTTTTTGTAGAGAGTATTAAATTGAATAATGCAAGGCTGATTTTAAACAGTTGGCAAGCTTAACCCTATTGCGGCTAGCAAACTTTTTTGTTTCAACAAGAATTTTTCAAGTAATAACTCCACCTATAAATCACAAAACTTATGCTGACATCACGAGAAGTCGTAGGATTCGAATAAATTCAATACAAAATTCATTATTTGAATACCACATCACTTGTTCTTTTAGGACTGTGCAGCTTCGTTTACGCAGCAAGGTCACCACTTAGCTGAACCGAAGACACCATGGAAGTCTGTTTATCTTGCTGGTGCTTGCTCATTCGTCCAAGCCGCCCAATTTAGCATCTATATCAGTTCGATGTGGCCTTATTTGAGAACAGTACGAACATGTTCAGATGTTAAGGCTTTCAAAATGGAGTCGAGAATTTTAGTTGGATCCAGATGCCGTTGAGACACAGTTCGGCTACATTGTAGCCTTGTATAGCTTTGCCCAGTGTATATCAGCACCGTGTTTCGGATACTGGAGCAACCGAATAGAGCAGGTAGGTGTCACTGATTTTTGCATCTACCAAAAGTCTACCATAAACATCAATACAAGCACACCAAGTTCCTCAACATACTCAGCTTTGCTAAACTACAGCGAGGCTAAAATCAATCTGACCACTCACGCAAAGCTGACTACTATCAAGTGTGCAACTTTTGTCTTGCAATAAGAAATATTGAAAATGCAGCGAGCCATGGGAATCTACAAATATAGTGGCACATCAAATCAGAACAAATGAACTCATATGTAAATCATGAAAGCTTGAGGCGTGGGTGTGGTACGCCACACCTGGAGATCGTATCGGCGAGTCTGAGTGAGGGAGGGGGGTCGTAATCAAGGTGAAGTAATTAACGGCAAAACATTTATGAATAACTGAAAGGCTGCGGGTTCCCTACAGGAAATTCACAACAGCGTTTGCACAGTTGAAAAAAGTAACAATATTCCTTTTTGTGCATAGATAAGCGGATCCAACCCAGCATATAATAATGATATTCGTAAACAACATGTCAAAAACTCTATTCGCATTATCAAAGCAATTTTTAAGGTAGTGATCTGCCACCGTATACCTACCGTAATTCTAACGTAGAGGCTCCATCACGCAAAATAGGTATCATTCCCGTAATCAGCAGGTCGGATACCCCCATGTACCAAGTTTCTACGAACTTCTAGGTTTTCCGAAGTGAATTATCTTGAATGGAATAGTTTTCAAAGTGAGCTAGCTAACTCTTCTTGCACTCAATGCGAAGCACTACTCCCTGTTCTCTCACATGAGAAATCCCACTTCATATAAACGCCAATATGAAATTTGATTCCAGTGACCTTGTCTGTCTCACTTTTGGATTTCATTGGTTGCGCTTCCAGCAACTGTCACTTAGGATAAAACAAATCAGGCTCAAATCACTCCTATGCTAGTAGGAGTCTGAGCTTCAAATTATATAATTTCTTTGAGGGTGATTAATGGGATTTGGAATAACCCGAGGTAAGGCTGCCACACTTTTTTGAAGGGGTGCCACATTCCAGTAGCTTACCTTCAAAAGACTGAAGCGTTTCCCTAATTCATATTATTCCTACCATTTAGCGTCTTGTCTTCCAGAGTATATTGGGTCTGTAGGGGGTAAAAAAGTGTGAAGGCATAAAGTGTGCAAGTTATGTGCTTTTAGCTGCATATTTAAAAATTTCATCTTGTCTGACGCCACTCCAGCTTGGCCTTATCGCGAAAGTTTCTATCTCTCTCAAAGAGTAAGGACTACAGCTTGTGTCAATCCATTCTTTTCGCTTATTTTTCTTCAAATTTTTCAGCTTATTGATATTGAGTGTACTGACTACAAGGAATGCGCACATTCACCGAAATTATATACATGTGTTTCTGAAAAATTCTTTTTTGGGGGTTGCCACTGAATGTTTGCCATATCTGGACTCCAGAAACACTCCAGAAATACACAACTGTAGAGAAGCGTCCAGCGGATGTAGAAGCTAAATATTAGGTCGTTTCATAAGTTCGTAGACTTTTTATTTTTGTCGCCGTTTTTCGATGAAGCGGTTCGTTTACGGCAAAGTACCTATAGCATTGAAAAGAGAAAATCTTGCTCTACAAGAACTGTTGTTCGTTTTTGGAGCAAACTTGAATCCCCTTCTTTTACGACTTATCAAAGCAAAATTTTTTGAGAGGCAAAAATTGGCGATTGCGGCAACTGCACTTTCCGCATTTGGTCCGTATTCCGCAAGATGTTTATGTCATAGGTAGGCGGGATGGATAGTAGCAAGCAAGACTGAAACACTGACAAATTTGCAGCATGCCATTATGCATAGAACCGTTTGAACAAGGTCCCAATGGTTTTGTTGTCTTTGACTGCTGCCGCTTGAGTTTGGCGCGTTGTTCAGCGACACAATGTGTCGGTCCTCCTATCGGAACTTGAGGAATGGATGCGTTCTTCCAAGTGGTGTAGATGTATGAGTACAAGCTCTGACCAACATTTTACGCTTTCTCAAAAAAAATTTTTGACGTGGGAACTTTTTAAAATTGTGCCAAACGCAAAACATCTACACACATGGTAAACGTGCGCTTAATCTTTCTTTATAGCCTCTCTTTGGATATGGAGACTACTTTTATATGCACCGTAGTACCACAAACAGTTGTTTCTCATCACTCATAACAACTTCAGACGAAAAATTCCCACTTGTGGCTCCGTATACGGATCGAAAGTTGCAGTTGCCGCAATCGCCAATTTTTGCCTCTCAAAAAATTTTGCTTTGATAAGTCGTAAAAGAAGGGGATTCAAGTTTGCTCCAAAAACGAACAACAGTTCTTGTAGAGCAAGATTTTCTCTTTTCAATGGTATAGGTACTTTGCCGTAAATGAACCGCTTCATCGAAAAACGGCGACAAAAATAAAAAGTCTACGAACTTATGAAACGACCTAATATATAGCATCAGCCAAGAGGCACATTTGAAGGCAGCGTCCAGGCAAATCCGGACCTATGGGGGTTTTACGTGGAAAGTAGTTTTGGGGCCCTAACTAAGCCACTGCCCAACCGGCAGCTCAGGCAGTGCTCTAACGCCAATTCATGGCGCAATTCATCAGTTTCGCGCAGGTCCCCGCGCGAGACAGATGGGTTGCGCCATGTTCACGCGAATACGATTCCAGAGTTCAGTTTTGAGGGGAATTTCTCAGCCGTTAGAGCACTAACTAAGCTGCCGGTTGGACAATGGCTTACTTACAGCCCCAAAATTACTTTCTAAAATCCCCATAGGTCCAGATTTGCCTGGACGCTGCCTGTAACGTTAAGCATTTCGTTCCAGGTCGCCTGTGCGACTTACTAAAATTCCTTTCTGGTTGGCACTTTCCTTATGTCTCTCGGAGTTCCCTTACTTTTTTTTTAGAAGTCCCTACATAAGACTGAGTACGTACCTCTGTCACTAACAGAAGCAGGAGGGATGTGAGGGAGGTAACAGGGATGCAGGGCGGGTGATAGTCTTTATGCATTCAACGTCAAGGCAGCTCTGCTTAGAAAGGATCTGTGCAAAGCCTTGATTGCAACTATTAGGTTGCAATCAAGGCGAAAAGTAAACTCCTTTCTCTAATTAATTTAAGAGATTTTTGCTTTTCCAGTAGACTCAGAAGATGGTTCAGTAGAGAAGCTCAAGCTTTACAAGATAACCACCAAGGGACCGCCTAATTCGCATTTCATATAAAGTTTAAAGCCAAAATCAAAAAAAAATTTTGTTGCCTGAAAATTGGATTTTTGCAAGGAAAAACCCTACGGACCCGGGTCATTATACAGTAGGGATATAGTAGTACAAAAATGTACTTTTACCAAATTTGTTCCGCGCACAGTAAGAGAGAGAAAAGATGGTTTAAAAATGGCAAACTTCGCCCCCTACCCCTCCCACATCGTTGTTTACTACAAGCCTTACTTGTTAGTATAATCTTAAAACCTTACTCCTATGCTCTTATGGTACCCTGAGTTCTTATGATAGAGAATACCAAGTTTCACATGAAAAGCCCGAAAAGTGGCATTCTGCCATTTTCAAACCAACTTTGTTTTCAACTTTGTGCCCCGGAAAAAATCCACCAAATACATTTTCAGGTACTGCTATGTGTCTGTTATATAAAGACCAAATTGGAAGTCGGTAGGAGTCTTCTGTAAAGAGATCCAATCTTTATGGTAGCTAAAAATTTTGATTTTTGGCTCTAAATTTTGTCTGGATTACGACTTAAATGGTCTTTAGTGGAGTTTTTCTAGAGGTTGCCCCACTCTATCGAATGGTACCCTAAAACTGTTAAAAAATCAAAAAACAGAAAGGGCTCAATTTATTTGAACCGGCACGGCAAAGCACGTCCGGCGCCGCACGCGTGACGGAATCAAAGAAGATGCACCTATGCGAAAAACAGTCGAGTAAATCTGTCACTCAAGTTTGCTTAGACAGCAGGTAACTTGCGGAAAAATTTGCACGTTAATGAAAGCCAGACCAGTAATGCCGAGATTAACGGCGGGATTTTGCGGGAACAATTGGGTGGCGTCAACGTAGCTGTTTGTTTACGCACAAATTTCACTGCATTTTGATTGCAAGTAATGTTGAGCGGAAAATCACTCGATTGTATAGGCTGCTGCATGACGATGGCGCAGTATCTTTGAGCGCGAACGCGGCCTTACCAGAGCGCATGCGATGCAGGATTTACAACGGTGAAGATACGCGCGCATCGCGATCGCGCCTGCTCAACTAATACTGCTTTGGCGCCTTCGTCATGCAGCAGCCTTTACATGTATGAACGCAGCGTAAACAGCAAAGGCAGAAAAAATAAGAGATAGTAGGGATAGATTTTACATAAAATTCATCAGCCGGCACACTCGCAGTCATTGCCTACACTTGGATGGAAGACTATATGTCGCCGGAAGTGTGTGGCCCACGCGGACATCTGCGGCAGAGCGCGCATCCACGCACTATAGGCATACAGATTTGTATCAGCCGCCAACGCGGTGGAGCCCAACGGAGACATATAGTCTCCTACCCCATTGACACTGTGCTAAATATCACAAAAGATAGCGACTGAGTGATTAGTTGTAATAAGTTTTAGCTATACGAGAAACGTTTGAGGCAATTAATGCTCAAAAACTGAAACTATTTGGTCGTGAAGCAAAGCAATATAGCTGTTTCGAAAGCTTAACAAACTTTATTGTCAGCTTGGTAGCTCATTATCAATGGCAACAAAACTCAAACCATCTTTCAGGTTGGACGATGTATTCTAGTTTCGTATGTTATATCGTCAGTTCCTTAGTAGCTCCGTCTTCGAAGATCTGCATTCAACAAAAAAACACTTGCAAGAGTTTTCTATCGCGACAAGGGAGGACTCTATGCGAAGAAGGAATATTAAGTAATGAGCAAAAGACGATGGAACTCAAGTAGATCAATATTCTAACAAGTGGTGGCTCACTTTAAGATTGAAGTCTCTATCTAGTTCGCAAACTGAGTAAATTTCCAAGAATTAGATATGCTTGTTGTGCATGCTTATTGCATGTACTACTCTCGATAGCAGCCCCATCACTTACTAGGGAAGTTACAGTGGCAATCTGAAACAAAATACATGTATCTGAATGCACCGTGTTGACTGCTAAATCTGACTTCCGTATCTCTTGAGCGTTTTTAGAAGAAATTACGAGCGCTTGAAAGCACAGAAATGGCAAATGTTTGGTGCCACATTTTCATTAGTCATGTAAGAACACTTATGCTTTTGTTTAGTGTGTACATCTGTGTATCAGTACTCTTGATACAAGGTTAGTTATTCTTCATTGAAATTCCGATAGTTTCACACATTTTACAGCCCGTAAATTCTTCTAGACAATCGTTTAGCAGAACGGAAGATAGTTTCAGAATCAGCGTATCAAGACGCATTTGATGCTATGTTCATTTCAATTTGCCACTGCGACCTATCCTTATGAAGGGTGAGACAATTTCATGGCGTTGCAATAACAGGTCATACTAATCTATCAGTGAAGTCCCTCTCCCATCCCCTCCCCCCGCTATTGTTTTCCACTTTGACTAGAGGACGCATATCGGAATAAACTTTGACCATAAGAACCCACTGCGACTTCAAACTCAGGTGCTCTGCTTCGCATGCTTGAAATCAAAATTGGGGGTTGCGAAAAGTTAGTTTTAAACTTTTCGCACTTACCAAGCTGCATTTTGGGATTAGGCAAAGGTCAGCAAGTTCTCAAATCAATGTCTCCGGGAGACTTAATTAGGCCATGATGATTTGTGCAAATACGAGTAAAATCATATCAAGTATTATTGTAATACGAAGCACTAAAGATGCATACAGTAAAGCAAGAAAGAGCACCAACTGACGTAACGTCTTAAGGTGCGTCTCCCACTTTTGGCTGGTTTTTGTTGCATGATGTTAGGAAATATTATATACCTGTCGTTGTCGTTTGCCAGTCGCTCTCGCGCAGCTATAATGATGATCGTCGCAAGATTTATTCAGGGATGTGGAGCAGGTAATGCTTGTGTAATACGTTTGGCTCTCAAAAGCTAAATTATTTGTCTTTTATAATCTTGAGGCAACATGTCACTTCTGAGGGCTTATGTTTCCACTTCTTCGTCAAAGACGGATCGTTCACGAGCTATTGCTTGTGTCAGCGGTGGGATTGCAAGTGGTACCTTGATAGGACCAGGTGAGCATGCTGTCACTAACTTGAATTCGAAAATATTAGCAGAATTTTTAGCTTTTCAATTACTATTTACTCCTCTCGGGCCTGAGGGAGTGTATGTGCTGCCTTTTTACCGCCTTCACATCTATAACTCTCCCGCTCTGTTTTCTCTTATGATGAACATTGTTGGCTTCTTGGTTTTATGGTTCCTCTTTGAGGAAAACTATGATGTTCTGAAGGCTGATGCTGCAAAGGTGCGCAGCATCATGTTTCGCGTTATTCAGTAACACAAAATTATCTTACAGATGACAAAGCAGCTACCCTCTCCGTGCGTCATTGCAGTACTTATTTGTATTGGCACCAGATTCGCTCAGGTCTTCTCAACGTCAACGATTGCAACGTCAGTAAAATAATTGTTTCATTCCACCTAGTGCTGCTGTAAAGTTGTGAACTATTTTTCCATTCTAGACTTGGGTCTGCCTTTTCAATGTTGATGTTCGACTTCAACAAGGAACAATCAGTAGCGACCAATGCCACAGCTCAACTGGTAGCTGGAATTATTGGTGCAACGCTATACATCTTCTTCATATTTTTCAACCTCTCAAGCTGGTGATTCGCTTCGGTTACTTCAACTTACAAAACCCCCTTTTTCACAGACGATCGCGTAGAAAGTAACACGCCTCGACATGCAAAAAATCTTCGAGGTAGAAGCAGCAAAACAAGACCGATCTTTCTGTACTTTACGTTTAGAAACATTTGATTGTTGGAGGGGAGACAAACGATTTTCACATTCCTGATTCAAATATTGCAATTGCAAGCTGAGAAAGAAAGAATGAGCACTTTCCTCAACGCATCGCGACTGGCTAAAAATGGGATTCTTCAATTCAAAGAAAATGTTCGCTCCTTACATGGAACGGAATGAAGACTACGCGCCAGCCTTTGGTTACTCTCAAAAAGGGTTACCACGGTAGCTGAAAGTTTGTAGAACAAGAAGCAGGAGTGACAATGTATAAAGATAGGTAGTCATGCAATGGAAGTCCCAAAACAATTTACACTTACATTTCTGGTACCTGAGTCCTCGATAAAGAAAACTCGTAATTTAGGCTTCCAAAGCCAATCTGAGCTTAATCTTGGCAAACAAAAAAAAGTTTGTGTATTCGAATGCTTATTTCACTTATGTACTTTTCTTTTTTGAGGCATTTTTGATCTAGCTAACTAGAAATTGCATTATCTTGTTCCTTGTAGCACCAAACGACTACTACTTTCGCTCAAGGCATTTCAAAAAACCTTTGCGCACAGTTAAAACAAATTTTGACTATTCTAGTTCTAGAAGTTGTGGTAAAATCATTCATATGTCACTACTACAAGGAAACGAGTATGTTGTTGGAAAAGTTCATGGTTTCAGGATACGTCCAAGAGTTTCTGCAATCGCATGCTTATGTGCTTATGTTGGTCTTTTCGCTACCACATATCCGTGGCCTTTCATACGACAAAAGGTCAGGATTTCCGTAAACGGTTAGATTTTTTTGATTATTTAGATAGGTATACATGTTGACAAAATAAGAATGCTACACGAATTTTCGCTGCAATAATAATTATTCATAAGTTTCCATACTCAATCAGGTTTCAAGATATCACTCCATAGGGCGAGACAAGCTCTAACGACATGATGCTCAAACATTCTCATCATCTTTGGATTACGCAAGGTTTAAACCAAAAAGCAAAAAAAAATTCCAAATGTTTGGAAAATGCTGCATAATGGAAACTTCGTTCAAATTAATTCTTACGGATCTCTCACTACTTAGGCATATCGTATTACATTAAAAAATTTATACAGGGTGTCCCAAAAAAATGTATTGAACGTTTGATCGTTAAAATCTCTCTTCTAAAGAAGTCCTTTTCCTTGCTTTAGGTACCAACCTGTAGAGCTGGCTTCATCGTAGATTTGCATTATAGAACAAATCACTCATCTCTGTTCATTACTGTAGGATTACGGTATAAACTTCAAAAAGGGTCTAAAGCAATGAAAGACCATATTTTGCCTCAGAAAAGAAACAAAACAGCTTGAAGACTTTTACACTAGGCTAATTAGAGTTGATGATTATAACTTTAAAGTTCCCAACTTGTTATGATGCTTCATTGAAGAGTTATGCCAGGTAAGAGGTAGCGGCCATTTTTTCAATGTTCTTAAAAAGTGCGACTAAACCGTTTAGAAAGCTTCGTATTCTTGTGAATAGTTGAGTATTGAACTCAGCGTCCACAAAAACCCTATTATACATGTTTTCACTTTTTTTGAAAAATTTTGAAAAGGCAGCTTTTTCCACATTGACACCATATGTTTCAAGTTTCTACCGTAATCCTACAGTAATGAGGAGAGATGGGTGATTTATTTTATAATGCAAATCTAAGTTGAAGCCAGCTCTACAAAACGGTAAGGCAAAAGATTTCTTGGGAAGAGAGATATTCACGATCAAACATTCAATACATTTTTTGGGGACACCCTGTATATACATTGCGTGTTCTTTCCTCAAATAGAAAATGATGAAGCGGAAATAAATTGTGTTTACCATAGCGATGCTGGGCTGTTCTCACTTATATATAATTGTGTACTTAAAATTTCTGAGAGTACAAAATCAAATTTCCTCTTTTTACTGGCGCTGGGTTTAGAAAAATTGAATTTACCTTCTCCTGCTAAGGTCTGCTGAATTCAATGTTTTTTCGGAAACTGAAGCTGGAGTGCCAAAATTTCGCGGTTGCAAAGGTGTGTAGTATACAACTACTTACGGAAGAATAGCGCAGCACCGTTTTGGCAGAAGCAAAAATTTTTCTTCTTTTCAATTTCTAGCAGAGAGAAATTGCAGCACTGGTGTATATGGCAATTCAGACTTACAATTTTTCGAACACTTGGAAATTTCTAGTTTTCGGTTTTGAACCTTGCATGATTCAAAGTTGCGAATTGTAAGACTTTGGTCATATTTCACGCGATTTTAGTCGCGAAGCTCTTTGACAAAATACTTATTGTTAATAATCCATCGCAAACGCTTTTCAACCAAACATAGAGCATATCTCCTACCTGTCCTACAGGCAGTGCTCGGACGATACGACCCACTGAAGGGTGTATGTTTTCTATCTCTTCTGCATTTTGCGATGAAACTTCATCGATCTTCTACAGGTGCGGGAAGACATTCAGGAAGAGCTTTGGCCGGAAGCCGGTTTCAAGCATACACCCATTGACGGGTCCTGAACTTGGAGTTGCAAAAAATACGTTCTATTGTAAAATTGCAGAAATAAGGAAACGGAGTTCAAAGCAAATAATCTGAGCATTACATGATCATAAATGTTCAGGATCAGACTGGGGCTGCTTTTCGGATAGATTTGACTGGTGCGAGGATCTTGCAAAGGTGTCGCCATGGGTGAGTTCATCTTAACACCAACTATTTTCCTCATATTGTATTGCATCCTTACTGAATTTACCAGAAAGATTCTGTTGAAAGGCGCTAAAAAGCCCTGAAAATCAATTTACCAATCACAAATCTGCGACACACTCAGGAAATTAAATTCCAGGCTTGTGATTTTCGAGAAATTTCGCGTAATGAAATGGCTTACATGGTAAAGAAATGTAGACGTAAAGTCAGTAATGATTTAAAGCTTGAAGATTCGGTTCCGCAAATGAGGAACATATTCTTGAGATCAGAGTTACAAGGAAAATTCGATTACTATATCTATTTGTATATGTGTAAGTTGAACATGATAACTCGACATAGTGATGCAGCAATTTCCGATTCAAGTCATTTTACATAAAAGTGTCTAATTGATAACGACATCGTCGCGATATCTCGTGAAGACGTTGCCCTTAGACAAGGACAGTGTCTACACGAGATCGCTTCGCATCTTATTTGGGTAAACGGTAGCTTCTTCGAGACTATCGTCCAGTAAGCTTACTGTGATACAGTGTGTGGTACAAGCTTTGCAAAGATTATCCTCGTCCTAAGCTAAACACTGAATGAAGTCCACCCTCAACTTGCTAGACTTCGCAAAGCATTCTGCTGAGTATATTACGTCCAGACGGATTGAGGGTCATAAAGTTTCGCCGAGAGTACCGGCCCGCTCTCGCCTTAACCTATATCGACTACGAGAAAGCCTCTGACAGACTCAAAACTACCATCCTGTCAGTGTAGTCGATCAATAAGTGAATCCATTCGATTTTCTGGAAGGTCACCAACTGGATGATGCTGAAAACCCACCTGTTCAACTTAACCGTTTTCCCGGAGCTCTTTCAAGCAGCTGAGGCTTGTGCTAACCTGCAGCCACGTCGAAGCTCTAAAGACCGCTCAAGTGCTTTAGCGCAGTGTTCTGAAGACGACTCAAAGCAAGCAACATCCCGTCGGATTTTGCAGTACGTATCTTAGGAGGGATGTCCCGCATTCGTGATCCAACCGAGTACGTTGCGAGAGCGATGCAATCACCTGGACCAGTGACTGAGAAAAAGAGACGACTGATGGACGTTGAGAACAACAGAGTCTCCTCGCAAAGCAAATCTTTTGGGGAAGAGCACCAGCAAGACGAGCGGACGTGTTCATGAAACAAATACAACTGAGAAATTAGCTGGATACGACTTTCGCAACTCAAAGTAGACGCAGCCACTCAGAATCAATAAGAGGGATCGCGAATGTCTAAAGCGACGGACAAGGACACATGGAACATGGACACACGTGCTGGGACCTGCACGCCACGTGAGAACGGCCATGTAACATTAGTATCTGGATATCTGCCCTTTAATTTAACGGGATCGATGGCTGAAAGTGCGCCATCGGGGCTTAATCTAATCTAGGCTTGAATTATCAAAGTACGCGCTCACTGGAAAGATGCAGATTGCGTCGCGGGTGCGAGCGGTCGCCTTCCACCCGCCAATCTCGTAGAATTAAAGGGTATGTAGTAACATCTGATTCAAATGGCTTGGCGGCTGGAAGGCGGGGCCTTGTGACTTAATTGAGGCCGCTCGCGTCGTTGCGCAGTCTGCGTCTCTCCCGCGCACGTGCTTTCTGATCATTACCTACCCTCAATTAGGTCACGAGACCCTCCTTCCAGCCGCCAAGCCAGTTAAATCAAGGATATAACTATCGTTTATTCGTTGACCGTAACGACTGCTGACCGCGCGGCGACCGCTGGCGTGCATGATGTTTTCGTAGAAAAGATGAATAGAAAGAAAACAGCGGATTCTTCTCATCTTTATAATGTAGAAAAGAAACAAAGAATTCTTCTCATCTTAAGCCACGGTCCAACTTGTCACTTTTTCGCAAGTTTAGAAGGCACGCGTCGCAGTCGCCACGCGGTCGGCAGTCCGTACGGTCAACGAATGAACGATAATTACGTTATAATACTCACTATGTAAAAATAAAAAAAACGCGTCAGATAAATGTCTTATTTACATCTTTTATGGAAATCAAGTTGAACCGAAGGTTTGCCCCACTTGCAAAGATAAATCATCCGTTTTCAAAGTTAAACAGCACTCAGCTTTCTTTTGAAATTTCTAGCTTTACTACACATTCTACGTGATAGTCGTTGGCGTTGCAATCTCTGTTATGAACATTGCACTAACGACTCTGTACTCCGAAGTAATAGGACCACGACGACAGGTATCCTTTTCACAATTTCAAATTTTTCGTCGTGCGTGGGGGAGTGTAACATCTTTCCAGGGAACTTTTCAAGGATACTTTCAAATGGCCGCTGCCATGGGTAGCATGTTGGCTCCATTGATTACCAGGTTAAGCCAATATATCCATCATCGTATATGCCAATTCCATCAATTTGTTACAGTAATCTCTATGCGGGTTACGGACCAAAAGCCCCTTGGATTTTGGTTATAATGCTGATATGCACGATCATTGTTCTCTGGGTAGCATTTCATAGGAAGATGGTACCACTCAATATCGAAGATGATGATAACACATCTCACAAGAAAGACGAATCATAGTAAATAATGGCTGGTATTTTCACATCTTATCTACCTAACATGTGCAATTTTCATTTACGTCTGCATATTGTGCTACCTAGCGGGTCGCCTGACATGTACCTGAATTTTTCTCTCAGAAAAAGTTATTCGAGGATAAAGAAATTTTTGTGATCTAGCTTGTGTGGCAAAGATTATCATATTAGGTTGTCCGATAATTTCTGTTACTCTTTCTGTGAAATTCTGAAAATTCTGGAAGGTTTCCATAAAATTTCAAATTTTCTCCATATGAAGGGCACGGCAGGGCGTACCTAACCATGGCTGTTGCTGCAAATGCATAAACTGCAAACAAGTTTACGACAACATTGTGAGCGTGCTTGAAATTGTCATTTTTCCTTAGACTTTTTTCTCTGCGTCTAATTGTTCTTTCCTGAAACTTTTTTCATGCACATTTTCGTGCTGTCTCTTTAATAACAGCACTGTGGTGCTCTTCATGTCAAAAACGAGGGGGAAAATAAATCAAAAAATTCAATTAAATTAAAAATCAATTGAAACATGGGAAAAAATTCTTTTTTGTTTGCATCGTGTATATTTTGACACAGGGAAGTTGGTGACTATTCCTTGGGGTTTCTGAGCAGATGATATTCAATCAACGCTGTCCTAAGCAAAGATTTTGCTAACTCTTCAAACTAAGTTAGAAGACAAAAGCTATTATTATGAAAAAATAGTGGCAAGAAGACGCAGAGGTTTTTCTGACTACCTCAAACATCTAATCACCATTCCTTGGGTCACTTCTCTAGTCTTTTCTTAGTGAAGCTACCCGAGACACAAGACAGGGGAGGGGAAGAGGGTGTTAAAAGAAGGAAAAGCCAAAGTGTAGTTGTTTATCTCTGTGTGCCCATGCTTCTTACTAAAGATTATCACGACGTGAAATAATTATTATTATCATTATTATAAAATCAAAATTATAATCACGACATAATCAAAAATGCTAACATAAATTACAGAAAAAAATTCTGGGAACTCTATGACTCAAAAATAACCGCTGAACCTGAGATCAAAGGAGAAGAACCGTGTTGGGGTAGATATTCAACCTACCAGCCTCAACGCTATCATATAACTCTGTTTTTGCCGCAGCTCTGCAACTGAGCAAAACCGGATGCCGCTGTTTGAGGAAATCATTGGCCCGTCGCCCGGTGTGATAAACCTGACGTAACCGTCCCTCTGATAGTCAAAGTGGTCAGGGTGTAAACAGATCAAGCAGTTCCAAATCACTGACGTAGCTTTTTCATTTCCGGATTCTCACGCGAACGCCGCTCTTCACGCTCTAGGACCAAAGGTTATCACAGCTGGAATAACGAACAAACTCACAGCAAACAAGAGAGTGCTATAGCAAGAATGTTGATCGAGTAACTAGCGCTCCATCTGAAGACATGGAGAGTTTTGAAAAAATTTTATATTATCAACCAGTGAAAGATGAAATTATAAAACAGTGCAAAATAAAACGAAGTGAAAGTTTCTCCTTTTACATCTACTTGGCATAAAATTTTTATAGTCCCATAGGTTTATAGCCAGTAAGCGAGAATGAGCTGGACTGGATGATTCAACTAGGCCCTTCTATTCTATAATAACTGCAGTTCACCTGTTCATGATCATGATTAATGAAAAGTCGAAAAAGAATAATTTTTGCTTCATTTCCACACTCAATAGCTCCAGACTAGAACACGCAAAAACTAGGTGTTTCTGGAAAGTATGAAATAGGGTTAGCTTGTGTAATTTAGATTATAACCTCCCAGTCAAAAAATTGGCAGTCAGAGCGTGTATTGACTTTTAAGCGTGAAAGCAATATCACTGTAAGAAATTTTGAAAATTCGCTTGCATCGGTGGGTTCTAATATAAAAATTTTTAATTTCACGTCGCAACAGTCATGGGGAAATGCAAAAAGTGAAGATCGATCTAGGATTAATTAACTAGAAAGCTCAAGCAGAATTATCTATTTCTATTTTTTGGCCGTGAGTGGGCATTAGGTCCAGAACTAGGGTGTAGTATTGTATCTCTGAATAACGAGATAAGTGGCATATTCTTATATACGCTTGTAATCCGCCTAAAAAATTGTACTCTTGTAGTCGTCATTGCTTCAAAAAATTGTTGATTTGGTCAAGAATGTAGGATTGGAAGCATTGCACTGATCTACTCGTTGATGATTCTTTCACTGATGAGAGCCTGAATCAGGTCCGTTTTTGAAAAAAGCCATCTAGCTGCGAAAAAACTAGCGTTAGAAACAAGCATTTGAAAGGTAAAAATCTATCAAAACAGCTTGGTAGTCAACAAAGATGTCCATATACAGATAGAAAAGTGAGGAGACTTTGCCTAAATAGTACCCAGTTTTGTTGTCGTACTTTATAAATAGACGAATGATCCTGTATTAACATGTTTTTCTAACATTACAGCTGATCCACCTCAGGTACAATAAGAAAACAAAAAATACAAGTTAAAAGAGTAGGTATTAAAGTTCAACACTAGAAAAAAATTCTTCTATAACCAAGTCTGATAATCAGACTTTTTTGTTTATGCAACATACAGATATATAGCATTTCCAGAAAATGATTATGTTCTGTTTTCTTATTTGGAGTAGAAGCAATCAACAGCCAATGATGATAGGGTGCAGAATGATTTTTGAGAGCAAAGGGAATGTAGCACTTTACGTTACACTACGTGATCATTGACCATCACTCTTGAGTGTCTGGACATTCCTAGTTCTGAAGTGTAATAAGCACGACGTCATATTTTTTTCAGTTTATTTGCAATTGTTAAAATAATAAAAGTTTTAGGTTGGAACGCTTGTACTTCAAATTGATGTTTTACCCAGAAATGAGTTCTTCTCTGTCCGAGTGTTTTTTTTTCTTGCAAAGGATGTTGATCTACCCTCGAAGAAACATTGTAAAAAATTTTGCAAAATTTGCTCTACAGAGGATCGCAATCATTATATTTTTTTCATTGCTGCACTTACAGTTCATTTCCTCGGATTTCTTATTTTTTCAACGAGATTCTCAATGGCAATGTGTGCGATTACGAGTGCACACGATGCTCTCTGCGGCATTCCGGAAGAGAGCCTCCGTGAGTCATGGCGGAGACGGAGACGGCGCGGACCGGTTGACCGCGGAATTGGCGCCGTATAAAAGCACCGTCAACGGATGCTCCAAGAACACAAACATCACCACATACACATAGCACAGTCGCGTCGCACTTACATATTCATAACGTTTGGACTGCATCCAAACGATGACTTCACTATTCGCTCAGCTCAGTTTTTTGGCTCTTCTCGCGAGTTCAGCTGTTTTTGCTGAGCTTGGCAAGGTAAAATTATCAAAATCTTTCAATTTCCCACTTCACCCTCGATTTCCCGTTCTTCAGGATGCTTCTCTGATGAAAATTAGCCGAGCTAAACGACAATGCTGTTCCAGCCAATCGTCTTCTTGCTGCCCACAGCAACAGGTATTTTCCGTTCCTATAAAACTTTTCAATTTTTCAATGGTCCCAAAACCTAAAGTTTTAGTCCACCCTGCAATGCGTGCCAATTTGCATCCAGCAATGCCAGTCCGCCTGCCAAACTCCTCAATGTGCTCAATCTTGTGCTCCAAGCTGCAATCAACAATGCGGTGCTAGCCAGGTATTGTCTGAAGTTCAAAATTTTCTTAGGGTATTTTCTCACCAAATTTACAAGTCAAAGCGATATTGTATAGGCGATTCATTGCACGCAGAGAAAGGCCGCTACTGCGAACGCTGACGGCGTCCCTCAAATCAAACGCACTCATAGTTTTTCTAACCGTCTGCGGCCTCTCCTGAACCCTAACTATCTCGGCTAGATGGAACTGTGTTCAATCTTTGCGTGCGATGAACTGCCCATTTCTAGATTTTTCACCGAATTCCGAAATTTGCGATTCTTTTTTCAAATCAACTTCTATTTAGAATTTAATTTTCAGCAAATCGTCCTCGTCCCACAACAACAGTCTTGCCAATCATGCCAGCAATCCTGCAGTAGCTCCTGCGCCACCCCTGTGTGCCAAAGCACTTGCCAGGCCAGCTGTGCTCCATCTTGCGGGGGCCAAGCACCACCTCAGGTAGGTATGCTGTAATCCCAACACGCATTGAGGATATACGGTAGTTGATGATACGGTAGCATTGGTGGTATGGGAAGAGATACGGTAGTGTTGAATCGTTGTGATTTTTGAACTGTCCTGTCTATAATAGGAACTAATCGGGAGGGGGGAGGTAGCATGTTTCGTTGTCTTTTGGAATTTGCATTGTGTGTTCGGTGTTCGTCGCGCGCGGATCGCCAGGACCAAGAGCAAGACCGTGGAAATACGATCCAAAAGATCAAATAGACTAGACGTCGCGAAAAGAGGGAAGGGAAGGGGAAAGGGACGACTAGGAGAGGAATTTGAGGGCTAGAATTTGACAGAAAAAAATTTGTCAACCCATAAAAAAAAGTTCCTGGGTTTTTAAATGAGATTGCACTCTTTTTGTAGGTTATCGTAATCCCAGCTCAAGACCAATGTGGAGCTTGTCAACAGACTTGCCAAGCCACCTGCAGTTCATCCAGCTGCAATTGCCAGCAGTCTTGCGCACCAGCCTGTGGACAACAAAACAACCAACAGGTGAGTTCTGCTCCCGCCCCGCTCCTTTCCCAAACTCCGCCTGCGCCCAACAAATAGTGTAGTTGTCATAGCGTATATTTTTATTTTTTTTCTGCAGGTCATCGTCATCCAAGCCAGTTCGGACAGCTGTAACAACCAATGCAATCAACAATGTGCTTCATCGTGCTCAACTCCCGTCTGCGCCTCTTCCTGCCAATCTTCCTGCGCCTCGGCCTGCGCTCCACAGCAATGTGCCCCAGCCTGCATGCCCAGCTGCTCCTCATCCTGCACTCAGCAGCAGTCGCAACCTATCGTCGTGGTCGTGCCACAGGGAGACAGCTGTTCGAGCTCGTGCCAATCTCAGTGCAGTTCGGCTTGCTCCACCCCTGTGTGCCAGCAATCGTGCAACAACCAATGCCAGTCATCCTGTAACAACAACCAGCAGCAGCAGGTACGGTAACTATGGCGCTACCGTAACCCCGACCTTTAAGCTCATGGCTGCTTTTTAGATTATTGTCGTCTCACAACAGCAGCAGAACTGCCAGAATCAGTGCCAGAACAGCTGTATGAACACTTGCCAGAGTTCAGCTCCAGTGGTGACCTGTCAGCCGATGTGTCAGCAGACTTGCCAGCAAACATGCCAGCAAGCCTCTCAGATTGTGGTAAGTCAATTTTCTAGAAAACTCTGAGAATTTTCTTTATATTTTGATCTAGGTCCCCTGTCAACAAAGTTCATCCGGCTGCGGTTGTTCGACTGGTTACTCACAATGCGGTGGATCATGCTGTCGCAGACGCTAAAATCTTACAATATGGAGTGAGAGATAACTATTAGATTTCGTGTCTGTACAAAGTATTAGTGAGAAGAAATTGGAGACTAAAAGCATCCAAATCTCGGGATGCATATTTGCGTGAATTATATGACATGTCTCCCTATTATATAATAAATTTTCAATTGCTCTCTGTGATCTAAGGGCAAAGAACCGCCAAACACTTAACTTTATCTTCGTGTCCTTGTCTTCGCTCTTTACGGAAACTGTGAAGAGACAAATAAGCTTTTATGGCAGCAGCCTATCTCAAAATACGATATCATAATTCCAGCATATCCAAATGGAAAAATCTTCAGAAAACTCATGAAGGCTGAGAGATATAATAGTAAGTTGCGAAATCCAGAAGCGTCAATGTGAATTTGGCAATCATGTAAAGAAACTGCTTTTACTGAAAACTACGAAAAATCTCCAAAATTTCTTGCATTCCTCGAAAAGTGCAGATATAAGATTATATATTATAACTACGAATTGAATATAAGAAAATTGAGAAGTGATATGAACTTTTAAAAATTGAAGATAAGTTTAAAGTGAAGAAATAATGAGACTGTAATTGTGAAGTCAGTGAATAAAGTTCGTGTGCGAAGTCAGTGAATAAAGTTCGTGTGCTTCCTTCCTTTTTTACCCCAAAATAAATTAAGAAAATGAGTTTGTCTACCTGCTGATTACATCATATATATTCTGAAAATATCTTTTTGTTCCGAGTATTGAATCGTTCGAGTGCGAGGCAGATTATCAAACTTTTTTCTAGAAACAACCAAGCTGCTCATGATACGTAAATTTGCAGAATCTGCATGGCATTAATCAGGTGGGGAAATAATAGGCTTTCGCTGATGCCCAATTTATTATAAATTAGCTTCTTCTGTCGCAAATATTGAAAAGATTGGATCTCCATTAAGTATCTTAGAAAAAGTGCCAATATTCGAACTCATTACATATAATATCAACATTTTTCCTGAATTATGTACTGCAGCTTCTTTCTTAAGTATGGCCGGTGGAACTCTTTGTTTCTCTATATTTACAAATCTGCAAAAATAGGGCGGAAGGTTAAGTTGAAATTACTATCATTCCATATTTGGATGATGCGATAAAGGCCTAATGTCTACTCTTTCTAAATCTCACATTTTTGCAGGATCATTGCCTTACGATGCTTGCAGATAGTCTCAAATATTTTATGCGCACACATATAACCAGTTCGAGAGTTGCATAATGTACGCGAGTGACCATCTGTTCCTGAAATCTATTTGCGCAAGATGAGAGCGAGAGAGTCCGAATGTTAAAGCGTCGGTAAACATCAAACAATACCGCTCAAGCGCGACACTTCTCATTCGAGGAATGCATTTTTTCGTGGATGGATCTTCATGAAAAAATTTGTGAAAAAAAGAGGGGGATGAGGAAAATACTTTTTAGTGAAAAAAAAACTGTCTGTAGTTTACTTGAGAAAGAAATGAAGTGAAAATATAAAAGAGGTCTAGGTTTGTCCTAAGTTGCACCAGAAAATGTAAATTCGTTTTCAAAATGTTCAAAAAATTTTTATTCTATCTGGTCGTTTCAAACTTCGTTCGCCAATTTTTTGGGCAACTATAACCTCCTTCATTCCCGATGAATTTTCTCGAATGTATACTTATATGAAAGGGGAAACCATGCACTTTACAGCAATACATAAACTAGTATGAGAAATTCGAAAGCTAAAACCATTTGAAGGAAATCACTCAAGATTGGCAATTTTCAAGCAGGATCACGAAAAATTTTGAACCTATTTTCATTTATTATAAAATAGCTTTTTGCAGGTAACAATACACATCTTCCATGGATTAGTATGAGGTGGTTCAAAAGTCAAAAGCAAATGAAGAGAATAACATCAATTTTGCAAGTTCCGAGCATGCCCAAAAAAGCTGAAGTATCACAGCGAAAACCGAAACGGTCAAAAACATAGTTTTTTTATTTGATTTTTTTATTTTTCATTTTTTTATTTTTTAACATATTTTTTAACATATAAGGTTGGACCGAAAGTTCGTTCACATCATTTTCAAAAAATCGTAACTTCTGATTTTTTCAACCGATTTGACTGCTTTTGCATTTTTATGAAAGAGTAAGTCATGTTCTTTATAAAGCCATCTTAGCTGCTTGCTAATGATCATCTGTTGCATAGATAGGAGCGATAGAAGAAAGTTAGTCAAAATTCGAATTTTCTATGTAGGGTCATAAAAAATCGGAAACTTGCAACAAAAATCGGAGCAGTCAATATTCTAGGTTCTGTTACCTGCTCTTTCTAACTGTACAAAGTCTGCGGTGATTAAGCGTCTCTATGAAAACTTATGATTTTCGAGCATGCAATACAAAAGGGCGAATTTGATTTATTTTGGCATTTTTCAGGGAAATCATAACTTTTCATAGAGACTCTCAATCAGCGCAAACTTTGCACAGTTAGAAAGAGCTGGTGAAAGAACCTACAATACCGGTATCGATAAGAACAGGTGACTTTTTGAAAAATCGAGTTTTTCGATAGACCCAACATTCGATTTGTGGTTTATCACAAATTTCATGACTCCAAATTTCATTTGTCCTTAGCAACATGCTTAGCACTGTTGAGCTAGATGAACAGTACAACTTTGAAATGTTTTCGCTAATTCTGAAGAAAGAAAAATGACTTTGAAGATAAGACGGACGGCCGCCAGGGACCATCAGGGGATCATACAAAATGCTAGAAAATGCTGCTTGTACAGCTTCTCGCTTCTGTTTGATATCTTCATAGTGAAGGATGGTAGGATTACTTACGGGTGGGTAGACAGCGCAAAATCCAGAAGTTCGAAGCTCCAGGATAAGCATTCTTTGTAAGCTGCGATCACCTTCCCGGCGGGGATGTTAATGCATGCGGCCCTAAGACTAGCCTTCCTCCGTCTTCTCCTAGTCGTGAAGCACGGTCCTGAAGCGAAACCCAACCTCTAAAAGAGAAATTTGGCTTGTTGCAGCGTTGTTACCTGTTTTTCAGCAATTTCTTGTATTTTTGTTATTCTCTTTTCCTCTTTGATGATTCTTTCCAGATATACATTTTATGGAGGACAGAGTTTCAAACAAACCTGAACATTCATTTTGAGCTATCTTTAACACCATCGACGGCATGATTCTAGGGTGTTATAAACAATGAAAATGCTCCCGACACAATAAGCAAGCACGGGATGACTCATTGTGTATTTCTGCCACATCAGCCCCCCCCCCCCCGCCTCAACTTCCAGTTTGTGACGTCGTCAGGATAGTTATAGAAGAGTTCAAGCTTTATCATTGATAACGAATGCCTTTGATGTTAAATTAATAATTACGCCCCGCACCGTTCTGATGATTTGGGGAGGTTCTGGGAGGCGGAGGCTGACAGGACTTTTGTGATGCCGTTTTGAAAGAAATGGGCCTTCTATAGGACTCGTACTTCGCCAAAAAAATTCGCAAAAGTGCCCAGAAAGCCCAAAAAGGCCCAAAGGCGCCAAAAAAGCCAGGACGCCCCCTTTTAAGCGCGATTGAAAAATAACCTGCATTTTGACGATAACATCGTTATCGTTGAAACACTCAATATCTAACGAACAGGAGTTCGAAATGCAAACACATGCTTTAACTTTCAGCATGATCAGGATTACGCAGCCATGCTTGTGAGCCATTGGCATGAATTCCTAGAAAAATAAAAAGTTTGAAATAGACAAAGAGCTAGACAACACGAATTAGATCATCACGAACGAAACAAGGAACCAGTTGGCTGCATGAAAAGAAAAAAACAACGCAGTTTTCTAAAGAGCTAACCGGGAAATGGTCAGAACTTAACCCAGCCATTCCATACAAGCTGTATATCATCGGACCAATCTTAAGACACTGACTTCGAATATATATTTTTATCTGCCAAGCGAGTGTGAGAAAGTATGAGAAATCTTTCGAGTTTCGACGAATATATCTCCTTGAAAGGCAGCCTGATGGCGCGGGTTTACAGTGGCTATGATTATTCTGATTACAAGGAAGAAGTGCGTTTACCAAAAACCTAATTTAGTGTTTTTGAAGCCTATTTCGTGGAACATGCGCCATAGAACACTTGATGATTCGCACATTCAACCATAACTACTCAAAGAAAATCGCTCGGCGGATAACAAACATATGTTTGGGACCACCGTTTCGAGACGAGTCCGATGATATACAGTACAGCATGTTTGGTATGGCTAGTTTGAGTCCTGACCATTCCCTGCTAAGCTACACTAAATTCTGTTTCATCCGGCTTGAAACTTTATGTAGAGTTTTAGCATTATTTTGATTAGCAAACGACAGAAAATGAAGCAAAAAGACTTGTTGCTTAATCAACACACATGCCCTAACGCCAAACTTGAGCGCAGAAGCGGGAGTTCCGGCTCTTTTTGGTTTTTTTTGGGCGCTTTTGTTTTTTTTCGGCGAAGTAAAACGGGTCTTTTCACAAGGGTAATAAGAAAACTTAGCTGTCCGAACGAACAAAAGACATCTAGGAGACAATTACAGTACCAATGTTAGTATGAACAGACTACCAGAGAAATCATTTCACTTTTTCAAAAGCTTTGCTAGTGCTTGCAGCTTTCGATGATGGCTTCATTTTCTAAAGTCATCTAGATAAGCAGCTGTGCATAAAAGAAATGTGCGTGAAAGTCCCGTGTTTTTAAAGATGATGGTGATTTCTATGCTGCGAAATGCACAGAAAATTGGTCTTAGCAATAGCAGAATCACAAATGCTTTCAAGTAATTATTTACCGACCTGCTGCCAGATCTGAGAAAGTTCGATCAAGTAGGCGCTCGAAAGCTGAAACTTTGGAAATTTAGCTATTACCCGCATTTTACAGACAATGGAGGTCCATCTAGTCGAAGTGGCTCTCCAAATGAGTTTATACCGCTTTGAAGAGCAACGAATTTTGAATCCAAATTTTTCACTTACCACCAAGCACCTCTGGAGGCCAAGTTATGAGTGCTGATTGGAGCAAAAAATGCGAATCTTGGGAACATTGACCATTACGGTCTTTTCGGCGCTCAAAAGCAGTATTAAGTTGAGTGTATTAGACAGAAGTTACCTACCATATGAAGTGCTCTGATAATTAACACTGGATTATTTGAGCAATTCTGCTCGAATTTTATTCGAGTTGCGGAGTTATTTTCTTAACCCCAGAAACGCTCATAATTCGGCGTCCAGAAGCGTTTGCCAGATAATGGAAACGGATTTGGAACCATCTTTCATTGATCTCCAAAATGGTGTAGGAGTCACATGAAAAGGCCACTCCGACTAAACGGATATCCCTTGTGAATGGTCGGAAGGTCTGGAGTAACGACAAAATGATATACTGCGGTTTTTCACGCCATCGTCTATTTCAGGGAGAAGATCATCGCACGCGTATTATGAATGCGCAGGCGCATGGCATTTACACTCAGACAACGGACCGGATCTACCCGGTGGACTTTTTTGGTACCTGCCGGGGTCTTCCCAGCGGCGATACCGAACTCGCACTACGCAACCTTTCGGACTTTGAGCACCCGAAGTCAACCAAAGCCTATTTCGCCCCGAAAACCCTGTTTTAACATCTGGTATACTGTAAGCAGTCCTACGCCTCTGAAACCCTGCATTTTCATACCTTGCATAGTGTAACTACCCCTAATTAAGCTACAAAGCCCAATTTTAGACCATTAACCCCACTCAAACTACCCCTAGAACTCAATTCCAAACTCTGAGCTAGTTTTTTTTCTGAAATAGCGAACACTACCGATATTATACTATTTTTTTGCCTCCGTGACGATATTCGAGCCAGGGCCCGGCACGAGGTGGGCAAATGACAGGCTAGAAATCGTTTTGGTAGAAAGAGCAAAGGGGATATCGTTTTTTGCAAGGTTGCGGGGCGAAGCCCTGGAAAAATGGGTAGTTTATACCCTCTGCTTAACATGTCACGTACCTCAACAGGCGACCACTGGAGTTCGATCGCGTCAAACCCCACCGTCGCTAATTGCCGCACGCGCGACGTTCTTTAATGATGCTATTTGTAACAACATACATGACTAGTTTTTAATGTATGCGTAACGATATGCCACCAAAATTAGTGAGCGGACGAGCAGAGGCTAGTGGAAACAAAGTATGAAAGACTGTAGAAAACTCATGTAAAATGAAGGAGTAGTACTAAGCAATTTTTCCGATTTGCATAACCGGCAATCGAAGTTGTGAGGATGTGAGTTCAAATGGCTCGTTTGCAAGGCACACATGACGATATGATACGAAACTCGGGTCTGCAGAGGTTAACCGAGAAGTTTCGTTGAAAAATTATTTGGCTCAAGGCTGTGGCAAGCTTTTTTCTGAAAATTTCTTGCTACAAAAAATTAGACAAATGGCTCGTTCGCAACGCAGTGATGACGAAATCGCCCGAGATTTGGTGTGTATACGCGCAGTAGATGAAGTAATATGAAAAACTTAGGTGAATGAGGAGCGTGCCCAACTTTTTTTCAAATTAGGTTGGCAATTGCCAACCTAATGCCAACCTGAGGTTGACAAAACTTCCAATTCACATAATTTTTCCAAGGTTTTTACGTAAATCTGTTTTAAAGCTGAAGATTAGTTACAGCAATATTTTGGTTTCGAACTCCTGTTCTGCTCTATGTTAGAATCAAATACCATTAGCATTCCCGTTTCTAAGAGGGAAAGCGCGCTCCAATTGATATGCGCAGGGATGGCTCACGACGTGTTCGGAATGCACAACATCTACCTTCAATACTTTCGCCGCAGGTCATCACTTTAGTATTAGAGCGCGGCAGACATTACGGACTTGACTTTTCGCTATCCACTATCACACTTCATGCCTCTCGTTTATCTGAATATAATAATGCTTGCCTTACATATATGTCATTGCTACTCTTGCTTTGATCACCGACAGTAACATTGACATAAGTTACCTTACAAAGTGTGGTGGCGAGTTTATAGTGATTTCGTAAGAACGAATGGTTCCAGTCGAGTAACATCTTCTAAATGAAGAGTTCAAGCAATTTATAACATTGCTGTTCTCTTCTTTTGTAGACGTTGAAAGTTGCTCGCAACTACGCATTCAAATTATGACCTGCTACGATGTGCCGGAATGTTTTTTTTCATGGGCACTGCTTCATTGTGTTGTTGATGATTTATTTGTTGTTTCCTTGATTTGTGGTTAATTTTGATATCAGCCTTCATTCTGATATAGCTACCAGCTGTTTAGAGGCTCAGGCTGAACCTCGCTGCAATGTGCTGTCTGCATCTTTTTTTTTTGAAATGCTACTTCTAGTGAGGGATAAAAACACAATTTATCTCACTTTTACAACAAATGCTGGACTAGCTTTGTCACGTCTGTTTCTCTAAGCAAGCATATCCATATTTCTTTTTCTTTCGCATTCCCCGATCGGGTATGACAGCGGAGTAATAGTCACAGATTATGTGTCTTAGCTAGAGTTGACAGACATTCGCTAATCTCGTGTTCTTGTCATTCAGTATCGGTGATTTTTCCTTGTTCGGTGCGTGGTTTTTTCGGCAATGGAAGTGAAGAAGTACTGCTATATCTATTGTCAAATTTCGGTATGTCAAAAGGAAAAATATAGCTCAAATGACTCAAGTCAAAGCTAAAAATATACCCTGCATATGAAACGTTCTATGTTTATCTCATTTCGATCACTGACTTTATGACAGAGAAGTGGCCGAATAATAGTCGTAATAAAAAAAAGTTTGTGTGTACTGATTTCTGGTGACTATTATCACGGCAGAACGAGGTCTGTGTCCTAAGCGCTAATTTTCTGCTCGAAAATTGGTAGAAGTGGTAGATTCAATCAAAAACAGCTAATTGCAATTCTAAGCAGGCAGCAAAGCTCTGCTGCAATCGCTATGCACGCTGCAACCGTGACGTATAGAAATGCGGCGCCAGTTCAAGTACGTGATTCTGCCGCGCTCTAATGCTAAAGCGATGACTTGCGGCGAAAGTATTGAGCGGGATGTTGTGCATTCCGAATACGTCATGGTTCACCAGTCGGCATCAATCAATAAAGGTCATCAGCAGAGAATTTTCGGTCGTGAGGAGAAGAGGTGAGTGTTTTCTTGCATTTTTGAGTTAGTCCTGTTTACGAGTTGCTTTGAATGAAGAAAGGTAAGCGTTTTTGACTATTATGTCCTCGTAATTGTAATGGTTTTTTCGAGTGTTTCAATACGAATTGCCAGAGTGCGCATTTTGTAACCAAACTTTTCTGATTATCTTATTTCTTCGATTCTTCGCGCTTGTTGATTTTATCGTTCGTTTTGGTAATACTTTTGACTATTATGGTGCTTGATGTTTGCATTCTTGTAATTTCAGGTTCGCCCGCATACACACTGTTGGTGGGTAACTTAAATTCTTTCGTTTTTGACATTCGTTGTGTTTCTTTTTTATTAAGGGTTATGTTTTGTTTGTTTCTGCATGTATACATCATATGAACGGTTATGTGCCATTCAATGACGAGTCTAATCCCTAATCCATGCTATTTTGATAGTGATGCGCATTCTTCCCCCTTTCTCCTTCCTTGCCCTCGCGAAGTTGCGCACTGCTAGTTTATTTTGATGTTGCGACTGAAAGCGTGGTGTACCTTCAAACTTTAACAGAAGCTTTAGTGACATGTTATGTATTGCATGGTGATCATCATCAATATTGAGGGGAAAATGGAGTCAAAAGGTGAGCTTTTTCTCAGCTTTGCTGTCTTTTTTCCTACATCTGCATGTATATTTCATACATCTGTAGAACTTGGGTGATCTGTGATCACATAGGTCATTGCACTGTGTACGTTGAGCAGTGTTTAAGATAACTGGCCAATGTACGGTTTTTTTCGTAACTACCTTTTCAGGTCAGCCATCTACCGCACAGTGACGAAGGGAATATGAATGCCAGAGTTTCGCTGATCTAGATCCAAATTTTGGATGCTCAGCATCAGCACAGCGATGGAGGTAAACATGTATACGACGAAGTAGGATCTAGTTATTTCATCCTTTGCCATTGCACGTTTAGCAATCTTAGGTACTGCTGTTATATACGTATTTTCAATGCTATTATAGATAGTTTTTTTTCCAATAAAAATTACCTTTTGACAAGTACTCGGGATCGCAGAGTTTGTCCAAAAGCGGCAAAATTTCTTCAATCTCTCTTCAAATCTCTCATCTCTTCTTCAAAAGCGTTCCGATTGCATGTCAAGCATGCTGGAACTTTTGGCCTAGCGCGGAACACGTGATGTGAGAAAGGTGAATAAAGATGAGAGAAAGCTTCTTTTGCGCGGTTTTGGGCGCGAACGCTGTCTGGCCGGTGTTTTGTTGTACAAGCACAAGATTACGGGTTTGCACTCAAAGGGGTAATCGTAAAATTTTGGGGTGGAGGGCGAATTCGTTTTCGAAAACCCCTTTTGCCCACCGCTCAGATAATCGCCGAGGGCAGGCGGCCATGCGATTTTTGGGCAAGCGGGCACCGGAAATAGTTCGCTGATTTCTTGCGCTCCGCTTGCAGAAATTTGGGAGAATGTTGGCCAATTTTTTGACGAATGCTCGTAGAACAATCGAGGTTTTTCTATAGATTAGTTGCGGCGCAGTGGCCGCATTCTCGCGGACTTTCCGCGAGAATATGCAAGATTTTGGGGGCCACACGGTCCTTTCTGGAGGACTGCGCAGCCCGTAGATACCTTCCGCTGAGAGAAAGTACCTCAATCTTGGGTAATCATACCGTCGACGACACCTCTGCCAACAGAGCCTCACCTTTGCTCGGCGTACGCCCGAAACCACATAAAAAGAGTCCGAGCGCCTGAGAGTCCGAGTTTGACAAACGCTCGCTGAAAGAGATTATTTGACGAGCGCCTGCAAAAAATTCTGTGTTGCTGTCCGCTGGCAGAACATCCGACAGTGAAGGAAGTACCGCTCGCTGAAGGTTTGGTCACGCCCCAAAACTCTGCTGACCGCTTGCAGAATCTCGCGAGTTTGCGGACCGCCTGCCTCCGACGATTATCTGAGCGCGTGCCAGGCCCTGATTCGAGCCGCAGTTCAATCACGAGGGAACACATGCGAAACACAAAACTACAATTCTGAAGCAACAATAAGTGACATAGGGTGAAAGTACGAGTAAATAAGAGCAAGTTGGCACACAAGATACACCAAAGCTAATCCAATAATAAATAAATGAGATAAAAGATAGCACGGTGATAACAGAAGCAGCGCTCATTTTGCAGTGAGAAAAAGATTGAAAGAGATCTAAATGAGATAAGGCAAAAAAATTACATATAAGAAATTGGTCATAGGCCTCGGGCAGAGTTCACGCGATTTGATCGTCGCCAATCGCTAAAGACAAGTATTACGAGTTCATTGCATGCCGATCTTCTTGTATTTCGGTTGTGATAGTTAGTCACGATTATTAGTGTTGGAAAGCTATCATAACGGAATTGCAAGACATCGGGGCAGCACATTAATGACGAATTACGGAGGGTCGCTGTTTTACCGAATCGCGCAGCGACCGTAATCGCGCGAGGTATGCCCTAGGCCTTAGCGTTAATCGCGACGACCAAATCGCGTAAACTCTGCGAGGCCATAACAAAAAATACAACATGGGAATAAGAGAAGACAATGAAACCACAAGGGAGGCAGAAATGAACATTCAACAAATTATAAGAGGAAGAGAGTGAAGATAAAATGAAGTGAATTTGGAGACTGAGGAGCAGAAGTGAAGAGAGACCATTTTCCTTGGAGTATAATGGCATTCCTTGTGAAACAGACAGTCGAGAAATAAAGATCGACGAAAGCCTAGACACATAACGGCATATACAAGTAGACATATACATGATAACTCCCTGCTGTAGTTGGACTTTAAACCTCCTTGGGAGGCACCGTGCAAGGTCAAACTATCGCTAGCTCACTTCACAGAGCAAATCCATCTCTTCACGAAAGCCATCAAGCGGAAACCCGCAGTACGAGTCACATAGCTACCTGTAATTATAAAAATTGCGCTGGCACTAAGAGCATGTTTTTAGGGCGAGCAGCGTTTCAGCGAACGGCTGAGTTGGCTGCGTACTACGGAACTCCGGGTCGCAATTATTTATGCCCCTGTGTGCTGTACGCCTAGAAATCCCCGGAGAATTCACAAATCTCTAGCATCTTCGAGGCACCCCGGCAAGCCTCAGAATTACGTGTCTCGGCTTTTGTGACGTCACCGCGAGCAGACCGCCACGTCGCCCCGCCCCACGCGGCAGCTCCGATAGTTAGGAGTGTGCCCGGAATTGCCAGAGATAGCCGCAATCCCCCCACAAGCCTTTTGCGATTGTCTAAGTAACTTAATGTAAACAGTCGACGTCTTGCAAGGTGTGACTAAAATTTTAGAAAACTTTGAGAATGCGACATCTTCTGTAACGTTCAAAATATTCATATAGGTAACTACTTCAGAGCGCCGCAAGCAATTTTCGTTTATTGGGATATCTCTCGAGCGCGATAGAATTGCTGCGATGGCCGTTGTTGCGTTATTATTGCTGCCTATGATTAATTCACTCTATTGCTAGCTGATGTATTGTAATTCTACATTGCTTCATTTATTGCATTCGATCCTCACGAATTGATCATGGAGCAACACTTCTATTGTTATTCGAGAAAGTACTAATTTCCAAAAATAACATGTTTTATTGTTGCACGCTCACTGACATAATTCTTTCATTGATATTGAATTTTGAAAGATTTATGACCACTACCGTGATTTTTTGTTAATAATTTTTTGATCTAAAGACCAAGTTTTTTCAAGATTCTGTAACTAATCAGAGTTTTCTGATTTTTATTGAAAGGCTAAGTGGACCGCTTCCCGACAGGATATTTTTATGTATTTAGTAAAAGAGATAAAGTCTCTAAAGTTTATATGCTGCCAATTCTCTACCATTCAAATAGGGAGTTAATATTTTCATGTGAGTTGAATAAGGTAAATTGCTGTCTTCACATTACAGTGTCTCGGGAATCGCTAAAATATTATTGTCAAGCTTGAAAGACACGGCTGATTTCGCAGATGGAGTTGATTCTATCGCGCAGCTAAGATTGATGGAATGAAAACACGCAGTTACATAAAACAGGGCTTTGCAAAAGGGAAAACATAGAAAGCGATGAAAAACCGGGACATGTGTTGCATGGCACACAGCATAACAAGCAGATTGTTCTCTCAAGTCCTTCAAGCTACATTTTCAAATAAAACCTAACAGTGAGCAGATCACCCTAGAGTTGCAGTGCACTTCGCGTTTGTATACAAAGGACGGCAGACCTCTACATTTGTAAAGCGCAAGTAACAAAGACATCACAGATGATAATTTGAGATCCAAATTTGTGTATTTAAAGTATGAAACAGACTAGCGGTCATTGATCATGCCTCGATGCTATGCAATTATTGTGGTAAGCATAGCCGCTAATGTTTTCAATCTTCAAAAGTTGACACATTCAGTTTTCCACAACTCTGGCTATTTGCTCAGTTGCTTCACCGCATGGCTATAGGAAACATGGTCCAAAAGATGTTGAAGCGCGTTGTCGCAGAAATGTTGGGAAAGAAAAAAATTGGAGAGAATATACAATGATAGGCTTCCAAACCGTCTTAAAAGACATGGAAATTTGGGTGGTTGGTCATAATTTCGAACAAACTTTAGCCCTGCATTCAAGCTTGATTCAAAATCTGAAGTCAACAAGCTTGACTTGATTTCGTCACTTCCAGGGCTACAATTGCACTATGGAGGCCTATGGATCTGGGTCGAAAGAAACCCCAAGAGTTTATTTCCCCTTCAGGTGAGTGTGCATTACCCTTGTCAGACAGTATAGAGCAGAAAGCTATTCAGGAAAAAGGACGAAATTCCCAAGAATGTTGCCGACGCAATGAAAAATTATCGCGTGGTGAGAAAAAAATTTCAGATCACCTAGTGTCCATGTAATTGAGTAAAGGGCCTAGAATACATCAAAGGATGAAGTCGTTGCGATTCTATGACTAATGACGAAAAGGTACGATGGGACCGCCGATCGCTCAAACATGGGCATACCTTCGCAGCGATTTGCGTATTCTCGTATCCCAGCGCCAGTGGCGGTCCCAGAATTTCCATCTGGGCGGGGGGGGGGGCAAAAAAGATTTCAAATGCAGTTGAGTGGTGTTAGCCCCGCACTCCGAAAATTTTTTGGGGTGCTTCTAATTTTTGCATGCCGATAACCCTTGAAATCTAGGAAAAGGGGCGTGGCTGGGCTGGTCTCAATTTTTGAAAAATCATAAAAATTGTTTGAATTATTCACAAGATTAAACAAGTCACTTGCACATTTTTATGACCCTTGTTAGTAAATCTTAAAAATTTCGCGACCCATTTTTGGGGGAAGGCGTCCCTTCCCCCCTCGCTCCGCCACTCCCAGCGCGCATGCTTCGGATTATAATTAGCCTCATCGATTGGTCTTTTCTTTGCGCTTTGATGCGAATGACTCTAAGTAATAAAGGCAATAATTGAATTTAACAACTGGAATATTTGTGCTATGTTTGTAGTTCAAACTCACTGACTGCTACCAGTATGCTTTTCGCCAGAACTAACTTTCATTATATGCGTAGAGTTGTAAAACTTTGTTAACTATTTTGGTGTGATTTAATGATCGAGTTCTTATATCAAAAAAGTTCGACCAGACTAGCAATCAGACGGCAAATAGTACTATGTCGCCAAATTTCGGATAGGTACGAAACCATTGGATCACAGGAAGCTAATGCACTCTGGCAAACCTGGCTCCCATTCTTCCCACTCTGGCGAGTTCCCATTCCTTGCACCTTACTGTACAAAGTTGCAAACTTCATCTCTTACCGTACCACAACAAGCTCATAGAAGAGGTATGTAAGATTGTACAATGTTCACAACCAAGACATTTCACTTGCTTAAACTCTTTTACCCAAATTGCTGCAAATTCTGTACTATTTAATGTCTGAGCGTCGTTCCCAGACATGCTTAACTTGTTTGAAGAAAAAATCATTTTTTTGCGGCTCGCTTTCACTTATCTATGAATGCTGCTAAGAGTCCAAGCATCGCATTTTTCACATTGTTGCTTTCACTCTATGCACTGTCACAGAGGCAAACCAAGTCGAGTAAGCTTAAAGGCAGCGTCCCGGCAAAAAGATAGGTACCGGGTTTTTGTGGCGATTTCAAAGTAGACCTCCTACCTCCGACTGAAGTTCGGAGCGAAAAAAGGAATCTGCCTGAAATTTGCTCCGAAAGTGGCCGGGATCTTACGGCAGGCCTGGACGTCGCCCACACAGCATTATCGAACTGCAAGATCAGAGCGCGCATAACACACACAGTCATGAGGGCAGGGTTCCGCAACGACTCTCTCGACAACGACTCAACGTCTCCTGTAGCATCTCGTGCTCGCCCGAGCCTACCGTCCCCGCCACTTGGGGGGGGGGGGGGGGAGGGGGGGGGGGGAGAGGAGGGATTTGACTTCGTAAACCCCTTTTCGGCCTGCAAACTCCTGTCGTCGCTTAGTTAGGGGGTTTATTATTACATTACTACCAAAGCCAGGTACCTCCCAATCTGGTGGGACGCTGCCTTCAAAGACCTGATGCAGAATCTACGAGTTATGACGCAAAGCTAGGCTGAAAAAGCTTCTTCAAGAATGAAGTTGATGTCAGACAGAAGCATCTAAAGATCGCCTGAGCATCTGCAGCCTCATGCCTGACCTACTCAAGCTGTCAGAGTGAGCAGACCGCCACATGTTTTATATGATCAATGGGTTCATTCTCGTCAGCGAAGGAAATCATTGGTAAATTATGGTTTCTTAAAGCCTTGCACCAGTTTAATTAGTCACCATTGACTTCTGAGGTATTTAATCTATTTGTTAGGTTGATGCATAATTCTTGTCATAATTTTTTAAAATTTCATTACTTACTCCAGCTTCAACAAATTTTTCTGAGTTACATGTGAGAAAGAAAAAATCTTACGCATTCCGCATATGCTTGAGAGATAAGATTTCTTGATAACACATGGCAACGATATAAGCTGATTAAGAGAAATACCCTCAAAGCGATTTCTCAAACTTTGGTCCCTGAAACTGTTGGAACGTCTAAGATTTGAGTTTATTTTCAATACCGTTTTTATGACCAACTCTCTTTGACTAGAACAAGTTGGTAGTCATCGGGCGTCTCTATCAATCATGAATTTCGCTTTTTGAATTCGACTCATTGTCCAAACTGATTTTCTAAAATGTACTCTTAAAACTACTTTCGATATACGTAACAATATGCATATGGTGTAAATCAATTGGTTGTCTAAGCAACCTCAAAACGATTTTTTTTCTATCTTTTGGTGCAAGAATTGTACATAGCCCAATAGTACAAGGCTCATCAATTGCAAAGTCGGATGCATCAGCATCTTCGCTCTAGCGAAGCTCCTGCCTGGACACTCACCTCTTTCGCGGACATGCTCTCTTATCACTTTCCTACCATGATCGTGGGAAAGGCGGGTCTTCAGTCGCTAATTAGACGGCGAAAACAATAAGAGAGCATGTCCCCGAAAGAGATGCAGAGTTCAAGCGAAGCGGCTTTGGAAGCGGAGATCTGGTGCACCCGAGTCTGAACTTGTTAAACCCTGTACAACAATTCTGGCGTGCAGATTTTGAGAGATGGGAAACTCTTTGAAACACGCTAGCTTCTTCTCAGAATACCAATACTTGAAGGCAGCGTTCAGGCAGAATCTCACTTCTATTTTTTTGCCTTGTCGAGGCCTTTTCATATAGCTGATTCCAAATGTAGCACTCAAAATGCGTGAATTCCTCACAAAACCCCATTTTGAGAAAATTTTGTAAGAACTGTGGATGGGCGCTCCTAATGCTATCTTTGTCGAAAGCAAGCATTGACACTAGTAAACGGTAGACACTGGCACGTGAAAACTCGTCAAGGGCTGAGAAAAGTTTGTTCAAGGGGGCGGGCGGTGCGAGGGAGAGGACGTGGTCCTCGAGGCTCAGCCTTTTCTGCTCCTAACTTCTTTTGCACAAGGTGTTCAAGTGGGATTTGCGTGTAGTTCTAGATCGAGGCCGTATTGCTCAGTTATGATAGTATCCGAAAATATCCAAATCTGCCCGGGCGCTGCCTTCAAGTCCTGGAAATGAAAAGGAAGGAGAGGTTGTGAGCAAGGATGTGGGAAAGGTTGTTTTCAAAAGACGCGTTCTGACCTCGAGCTGGCCTCTGTCATCACTATTCTGTACATCAGACACAAGCCAGAATTTTCTCTGATCATCAAAAAAATCTTGGACGTCAATATGGGTGTCCCGATGGTGGCTGAAACCTAAACTTCATAAAAGTTCAAGCTGATTATCGTAAAGGGTGCAAGAGAATGACTGAGCTGAGCATAGAGCACAAATAGATGTACCATATACTGTATTGAAATCAGCAGCCTTTTCAGACTGGTTTTTTGGAAGTTCGCTCAAAAGCATTGGTGGATCTCGGATGTGTGCGCTCCAAATTCCCTGAATACGGATATAGTATGGTGATGTGCGAAGTTGTAGTAAGCTATAAGGACGGGATAGGACCTGGAAATTCTTTGACCTTCTACTTTGGCCTTAACTGAGACGGTAAGATACCGCTGAAGCTACATAAGAATCATGCATATTTGGTGAATTGTTTGCAGGCAGGAAGGAGGAACAACAATGGAGTTACCTCTATTCTTATTTCTCTGAGGCCTCGGACAGAGTTCATGTGATTTCATCGTCTCTCACATCCAAACAAGACAATAGTTACGAGTGCATTGCAGTGCATTGTAGATCATTTTGCATTTCGGTTTTGAAAGTTAGTCGTGATTAGTTAAGTAGGGTATCTCTATCACAACCGAAATGCAAGATGATCGGCATGCAATGGACTCGTAACCGTTGTCTTGTTGGAGAACTGCGAAACGATGAAATCGCGTGAACTCTGCCCCAAGCCTAGTATCGATAATTTTGTCTCAATAAAAATATTCTAAACTCTTTGTGAGAAGCTGTCCCATCACATAAACCGCACCATTGTACAGGGTAACCTTCACATTCAAGAAAGCTGCTCCCACCGAGAATTTGATCGTAAAATAATACATATCTGTAGAGGAGGTGGGCGTCAGTCACCCCTTTCAGAACTTCAGACTTTAGGCTTCCGTGCTCGAAAGAGGATGCATAGAGCTACAAGCACAGAATCACAACGAATTTCAACAAAGTCCATGTTTACTAGCAACTAGTCATTCTTTGCTTGGTCTCTGTCGCATACCGTGACAGAACTGAACATACTAGTCACTTCCACATTCCACTCTTCCACTGCAAAATCTGATCAAAAAAAAAAAATAAGTAGCAAATCTGTTCTACAAGCCCGTCCTTCGCTTACCATTTTTGGATGTACTATGAACGTGAATGCACAGGATGTCCTAATAATGTATCGAACGTTTGATCACTAAAATCTCATATCAGCCTTCGCGGCCGTCCAGTTGGTATAGTGAGGTTGGCTTCGTTTCAGATTTATAATAAAAAAGGGTCACAAATACGCCTTCGTGAAAACGGGAAAAACTTTCAGCACAGTGTTTGCATTGCAAATCAACTACCATTCTAATTTTCACAAGGTTCGAAAACGCGCACCTCCATACTTTACAGGCATACAGATGTAGCTGCCTGCGCGAGGTAGACCCTATCGGCGACGTACGGTCCCATACCCAGCATCTTGAAGTTGCGCTGTCTGATGTTTTTGCTCTCGCTTCGGAATAATTTTACTGCTCGAAGTCAGGGCTTGGCACAGCTAGCACAGGGTCAAGCTGGATATCATTAATGGGCTGGAAAGCAAAGAAGATATCGTTTTTGCGGGTTAGATGCCGCTGTTTGCTAGAATGCCAGGAGAGCAGCCAGCCGCACGCGGCCGCTTGCCGCGTGCTGGCTTTGTGCATGCTTACTCTTTACACCTCTGTTCATTAGCATGCCGTCAGTATGCCGCTCGTCATGCCAGTGCTAGCACAGCGCAGGAATTTGAGTTCTGCCCGAAACAAACAAAAGTCGGGACCCAAACTATGGCCCAACAAATCATGAAAACTTATCTGAATGGAAGCTATGCTAAATTTTTTTCTGAATTAGCTGACACCATGCCAGCTGGTTGCCAGCTGAGCTGGCATCGGCCCTTTGTTCACATAAACTCTCACACTTTCTTACATAAATTGTATCTAAACTGTAAAAGTTTATATACAAATAAAACGATGTCATAATGTTTTCTTTTCGGTGTTTATAGTCATCCGAAGTTCTCAGTTTGCTCCGCAGTCGAAAATTCAGCTCTATTCACAAAGCGCGCCCTAAGCAGGTCAAAGGGGACGTACGAAATTTCTAAGATCAAAAGGGGCTTCGTTTTGAAACCCTGTCTGGTCCTAGCTCGTCCCAAGCTGCGAGGTTCTAGTCAAATACGGCTACCTCATGATACCACATTAACGAGAAAATATGATTTCTCAAGTTCGAGTCTCTCTTTGGCATACACCAAGCTGGTTCCAGTTGTATAACTGTTTATTGAATAGTAGCGGAGCAGCCGCTGACTATCAACAGGAATATGCGGAATAGCCGCTGACGATAGTGGTAATATTTGAACCAACACCAGAACTGAGTATTCAGGCCCTTTTATGCCACTATTTTGGGCGTGGATAACCTGAATGCTCATTCCTGGCAAACAGTAGCATCATACAGAATCAAGGATTGCCTACATGAAAGTAGTCGCCGCCAAGTGGACTATCAAGCACAGTGGAGGGCGACCTGGCGGCTTGAGTGGTCAGTGAACAGTAGCATTTGTCAACGACAAGCTATAGGATGATATAACATACAGAATCTAAATTGCTAAAGAGAAGAAGAAGCATTTTCCTGGACTCTCCTGGAACCAAAACAAGCCAACGACGAGAGACGTTTAGGTCGAACAAAATTTCGGAAAGTCTATCTTTTCCTTCGAAACAATACAAATGCTATTTTTCTGCACCATTTAGGATTCAGCTACATATGAAAGGATTCTATACTGCCTCTAACCACTAACCACTGAATACTTCTTGGACCGAGGCCACATCACCGGGGCTTTGCCCAGCAAACCTCGAACTCAAGTTACTAACCTCACTAAACCTCTATCATACAACCGAACGAGCACAAAATGAATTGAGTAGGTATAATGCTGAATAAGAATGACTCCCATACTACAAACTCCCATACTACAAACAGGGAACATAACACAGTAGGGTATATGATATTAAGACACGGTTCGAGTCCCTTTATGTGCAACATTTCTGCTGACGTGCGTAAGTTCCTTTCCAAACACAGAACATTTTAGGCTTTAAATCATTCCGTTTGTTGAAAATGCAAAAGAATTTTTTTCTCTTGAGATTCAACCGCTTTATCTGCTCGAAAATATTAGAGGCAGAACAAATCTTTGCTATGCGCACTTCGTTCACAAAATGACTGAAACGGAGTAGAAAAGGTTTGAATGAAAGAATTACGAAGCCTGCTGAGAAACAATTCTCGATCGCTCTCACTGCTATTTCCTGCGCCAAATTCTTCTCTTTGGTGTAAATGATACTTTGTACTGGGGGCTTGAAATGGTTCAATACTTAAAAGGAACCTCGTTGTTGCAGACTAAACTATTTGAATCCAAAAGTCCACTAGTTTTACAGTCTCGCACACAATCCAATAGATTAAACGGGCGCTAGCTTTGTGTGCGAGGCAGGGCCCGGCACAGGTCACCTGGAAGCGAGTTGAACATCGTTTCTGGAGCAAAAAGCAAAGGGGATATCGTTTTTACGAAGTCGGAGCCGAGCACCAAGGATAAGCGTCATTTACTCGAACACAAGCTTTCGGACAGGTCATCACACAAATGACATGCTCTATCGTGTATGGCAAATAGTGCGCGCGATTTGAAAGAAGGCTAAAATAAACAAATTGCTTGTTTACAGCGCACACCGAATCATATAACAAAAATTGAATCGTATACCCTAAAATCCCATAGATAAGAGCGGTTTAATTTACCGGTGGAAAATGAATTGGAAAAAATTGAAATTGAAATATAGAAAAAATAGCGATTTTAACGAAATTTCGGAATTTCTAAAAATGAATTGAATTTCTATATGAATTGTTTATTAAGTGGGCGAGGTTTAGAGTTGAGGGGCGGAGCTTCTTCTAAACTTCTTCTCCGATTTTTATTTATCCATCCATCAAGTTAGAGGGGTGACTGCATTCAATTTCAATTTCTTCCAATTCATTTTTCACCGGTAAATTGAACCGCTCTTACCTATGGGATTTTAGGGTACATAGAAAATTACTCGCGGAGGAATTATGCAAAAAGATCCTCCTATAATATAACATCGAAAGCGGTTTGTGGGCGGCGTTTCGCCAGAAGTAGAACGCGCACGAAGTGAGGAGCCAGCTCGACCGCAGAGAATTTTGGGGCGTGGTCTCGCGGAGTGGCATTCGCAGCTGTACAGCCACACAGTGCTGGCGTTCTTTCTAAAGCTCAGCAACTCAAGGAGAAGGGGGTATCAAGCGCTTTTCCATTGTATGTAGCAAATTGTGCAATGGTGCTAATAATTCAGCCCAACACAGTTGCGCTTTTCTTGCTCGGCAGATACTGCTGTTCGTTGCCTTCCTGAATCGTTACAAAAACCATCATTCATGTCAACGTTCCCTATTTTTACCACTTTGATGGGAGCTGAAGCTTTGATCTGGCATACAGACAGTCAGCAGCCTCTTAGTTCTACACCTCTGCTTACAAAATCATTTCGTTTACAAAATTTAGCCAGATTTTTGCCGAGCTGTGCCATTGATACGTTTTTTCATGACAGTGACAAAGAAACACCCATTTTTGATGATTAAGTTTTAAAACGTTCTTAGGAATAACCTGTTTCTGATTCAAGAGTTAGAGCTTTTGATAAAACTTAACGCAAACAATCACAACTAGATTCACGGTGCTCAGTTTCAAAACTTATCTTATTAGCAAAAATACATGAGCTTCTGTTTATCGGCCTCACAGATCACTTTTATAAGCGAATTACCTGCTCCCCATGGAAGTTTTTTGATATAATATAATACTAGATCGCATTACAGCCTTTTTTTTTCAAAAAATCTTTGTTAGACTATATACATGTTTGATTTTAGTAGAGTTGAACGCACTTCGCTTGGTAGTGTATAATATTCTCCCAGATATTAGCGAAAATTTTGAGAATTTGGCGATGACTGCTGTTAAGTGATCCTTGAAATAGCGCCAATACTCGACCGTCGACCACAATGGATGCTGACTCATCGCGCTTGATCTTCGTAGTAAGCAAGGACGGGTCAGCCAATTTACATGTCTGGACCGTTGATCACGACAGGAGCTGACTCATCATAGTTGATCTTTGCAAACCGAGCCAGCCATGCATGCTCTGAACATTAACACAACAAAATGGTCATACTAGGGGTCAAAACGGCTGCCGAACACGCTGGGAACTCTAATGTTGTTTGATAGAAGTGTTTTGATATAATATAATATAATACGCGTAAACTAGCTCAGCTTTGAAATGCAATTCTGCCACACAATAATTTTGCGATCAAAATTTTGTAACTTCAACTGAGCTGTGCAGTTCTTGAGCATTTCCATCAGGCACACTGCCATTAGATCGCACCACAGTTTTTTTGTCAAGAAATCTTTGTTAGACTATATACATGTTTGATTTTAGTAGAGTCAAA